GGGTCACGGATAGAGGTGGGGTGGTGGGCCGATGGGGCTGGGGCAGGGGCAGCAAAGGGGTGGCGGTGGGCTGTGCAAAGGTTATAGTGGAGGTGGGGGGCAAAAGATAGGAGGGTAATTTGGACATTTTAATGATGTAGTCAACCCTCACTAAAAATGAGGAAATGTCAAACTAGGAAGATTTTTCCCCGAAGGAGGGAGTATACTAGTGCAAATTTTTACTTAAAGTTAATGACAAAGGGATTATATTAATAAAAGTACATACTCGGATTGAGTGGGCTGTTGGAGAGGGGACAAGAAAGAAACCCAGTATCGACCAATGCTTCTGCCGTTGACCCACACCATACCTTTTGACATTTTGCTCATTCGTATTGCCACTGGTTTTTTCCCCTCCGGAGCATCAAAGTATGTCTGCATGCATGCACACGTACACAAACATGCATATATAAATGCATTCACTTATAATAAACAAACAAATTAAATAAATGAAAGAAAAAGTACCTTGTACCAAGTCATGGGCCCATGCTCATTAGAGAGAGGAGACCACCTGACTTTTTCGGCGCCTTCTTCTGTGAAGATTTGCAGCTTCTCTCCGGCAACACCAACCTTTTTAAACATCATCAATACATGCAAATACTCATTCATTCACCACGTACATTGGTTTAGACTAATTAAGTGAATTGTAAGTTATATAATTAAGGAGTACAAATATAAAAATAATAGTAGTAATACCGAGTGGGCCCAGCTGTTCATTGAAATATCGAGGGTTCCAGACATCAAACCCTGGAGGGTGACAGCTCTTGGTCCAGCAAACCTCTTCTCCATGTAGGCGCCACTATTCTTTTAATTTGTTCATCAAATTAAATATCCATAAGCTAGGTTAATAAGCTATACTGTATTTGTACATTACATGCATGCATGCATGCATTCAGGGATTTAAAACGGTGCTACGTAATAAATTGCATGTGACTCGGTTTAATAAGTTTTACGTACAGGGAAGCCAACAAGGATGCCCAGGAGTGTTATGTCATTGCTTCCTGGCTTCAAGTGGACTGGCTTTCTAAACACGAAGCTCTTCTCTATGTTATTCCCGTGCTTGAATCCTGTACATATTTTTATTTACTTACATCCGGAATTACACTTACGCAAAAATATGTTTAGCTTTTAGCGTTTTAAAAAGGTTATTTGCCTTTACTAAGTCTGCATTTAGTTGATCACTTACCTACGTATTCGCCATTAACAAAAGCAAGCAAAGCGTGGCCGAGGCTGGCAACCTGGAGGACCGGAAGGATGTCGGACCTCATCGGCAAGTCACGCCGATCGAATTCGATTCTTCCATTCATCAATTCATTGATCAAATCAGGTAACTAAACATATTATATCATCTTTAGTAAGTGAAAATTTATGCATGTGCTAGCTATATGCACGTACCTGGTGCTGTACCATGCATAATCAGTTGTGTCTTTCGTGAGCGTGTAGAGCTCTAGGGGAGTCTTGCTCTTTATAGACAAGTTATCGACGGTGGGGATGTTCTCCTTGTACATCTCCCACTTCAGGTTACTTGCGATCTTCGAAGGGTGGAAGTTTCTGGCGTTGTGCTGCGAAACCACAGACTCGGTGTTGAAAACGACAGTCTTGCAGTCCGGCAGAATGCTGACGGACTTGGGTGGGAGGTAGTAGTCCTTCCCCCTGAAAGTGATGGTGTTGGGCTTTATGGTGTGGTTGTTGGTCAAGAACGCGACACAGACCTTGAGGTTGGTGTTCTCGTACACTGTGATCTCCAGGTCCGTGCTCACCTTTTGCACGGACGGAGTCCCCCACAGGAGAGCCTTCTTCCCCAACCTCAAAGCCCTGTGCACGTCCCTCAGGTGACTCCACTTGGGCTCCCTGAACAGCCCGTATTCGTCAAGGGGGCCTTCGTCGTAGTATCGTGTCGAAACGAATGAAGAAGACGTCCTCCCAAAGTTCGTTCCACCATAGTACTGCATTATGAATAATGTCAAAGAATCAACTCGACCAAAAACTAGATCATACTCCCTCCGTCCCGGAAAACATGGGAGTTTTGATTTTGAAGAGGGATTTAAGGGGAGTGTATTTTGGTATTGAATTTCCAAAAATGTCCTTTGATGTGATGTGTAAAAGTATGATTTGATGGATAGATTATTAGTAAAAAGGTACTACCTTTGTCCCGTGAAACATTTCCCCTTTCTTTTTTTATCCGTCCCACAAAACACTTCTCATTTCTATTAAAAAGTCACTTTTACCCCTTATTTTTTCATACCCTAACTATCACATCATACCTTTTTACTAATTATCTATCCATCAAATCATACTTTTACCCATCACATCAAAGGACCTTTTTGGAAATTCAATACCAAAATACACTCCCTTAAATCCCTCCTAAAAATCAAATGTCCCATGTTTCATGGGACAGAGGGAGTATGATGTGATAGATAGGATATGAAAAAGTAAGGGGTAAAAGTGAGTTTTTAATAGAAATGTGAAGTGTTTTTTGAGAGGGATGAAAAAGGAAAAGAGAAGGGTTTTCAGGCAGAGAGGGAGTAATATTTATTGTGTCATGCATGCATGGATGTGATTGATTAATGTACCATGTAGTAGTTGACCAGAGTCCCATTCTTGGCAAAGAAGCGAGCCACGGAGAAGGCGATATCCTCGGCAGACCTTTGGGAGGGAGGGTCTCCAAAAGTCCTGTACTGCGCCGTCCAGTTTTCCGTCCACAAAGATGGCTTGTTTGGACCGTTTGGGCCTTGGAATGTATCAGCACAATGTCTTCCGTTACATGTGTTGATCTGTACACATTCAATCAAGGAAATTAAAATTTACGTTCAAACTTTGTCACGTTTGACTCGAAAAAAAAGTCAAACTGATCGAATACATACCACGGCGGAAGGGGCTTGCTTTTGTTTGCACATGATCCAGGGAATGTCCTTGTATAGAGAGACGGCCATATCTGCAGCCCAGTTAATGTATTTCTTTCCGTTATCTCTGTAAGCAAGCTGGACATTGCTGTACTCGTTTTCAATCTGGGCCAGAATGATGGGCCCTCCTTGGGGTGCAAATAAGTTTTCCTTTTTCATCATGTTCACCACCATTTCCGAGTACCTCTTCATGTGAAACTGCACAAATACATATATATACATGCATACAAAATGAAGTAGAAAATTAGTCTAATTTGATTCAAAAAGTCAACCAAATGTATATACATTGAGACGGAAATAACACTTACTTAACTTACCATAAATGGCTCGTTGTAGGAACGGAAGGTGATGTTGGGCACCTCTCGCAACCAGTATGGGAATCCTCTGCACCATTTACATAAATTACAGTTAATTGACAATTTATACTACGAGTAATAATGTTAGTCGGTTCTATTCATTTGTATGAGCAAATTTTTCTAATGTTAATTACGTTTTACATAAAGGTGTTTAATTATGCATGCATGTACAAGTTAGTTAGAAGTAGGTACCCCATATTCCATTCAGCCTCGAGGTAGGGTCCAATCCGGAGGGTGACGTACAAGCCCATGTCCCCAATCATCTTAATGAATTTCACCACGTCATTGTTTCCTTCAAAGTTGAACTGCATTCGTCCAAACTCATTTCACATTTTTATATACACATATATGTATACTACTCGGTTTAGAAATGTAGCAACAACAGTTAATGATTATTGGTCACTAGATATGGACCTCTAAACAAACAATCAAGTTGAATGAGTCACACAAAGTTAAATATGAATTCCATTCGGATAACTCTTCTAAGGACTCATCACGATTGATATGAATGAACTTCAAGACCAACAAGCCATGAAAGCATTTAGAATGAAATAATGGCCGTGACTCAACTCGCCATAATGCATTTGAATATAATCTTATTAAAAAGATTGAATCTAAGCGGGATAACATTTCTTTTAAAGGAAAACTTCTGCTGCAAATTTATTCTCGATCTCTACTCAATACAAATTTATTTATTTCAAAATAGAAACATTATTAATTTAAGAATCAAGTAATGTTTATAACTATGTGCATAAATAGAACTTCATCCGTCCCAATATTTTTGTGTAGTTTAATTTTTTCGAATCGAACATGATAAATTTTGAGCTTCAATTACTCTCAAGCTGTAATGTATTTTAGTATAAAAATGATTCAATTAAATTTATTTTATTAAGAATTTTCAAAATTGTACTACCTCCGTCCCACTGTCTTTGTCCACATTTGACTTTTGGAACTGTTCACCTAAGCACTTTGACTTATCAAATTCTCTCAATGTGTAAGCTTAAAAATAGTCATGTGTGATCTTGTTTGATTCGTCTTAACATATAGATTATTAATATATAATTTCTATAAATTTTTAATATGCAAATTACAAGATAAAATAGATTAAAGAAGTGCATTGGATGGTGTGCCAAAAGGTAAGTGGACAAAGACAGTGGGACGGAGGGAGTATTTCATTATAGTACAATGCAATTCAATTGTAAGAATTTAAACTTAAATTTTAAATCAAAGTAGACAAATTCATGAGAGAGATAGAGTACTATTCAATGAGTGGATCATAAGAAATATAGGAGTAGTTTTCAAAAAAAAAAAAAAAGAAATATAGGAGTACATACTTGGCCTTGAACAGGTTCATGAATGTTCCAGAAGACATATGTCTGTATGAGGTTCAAACCCCCGTCTTTAGCCTTTTCAATGACGTCCGGCCACATCTCCGGCGGCAGACGGGGATAATGGATCGACCCGGAAAAGAAGATCTCTCTGCTCCCGCCGATGATCAGCGATCTCTGATCGTATGTCACGCTTTTGCCGGCGCCGCCTCCGACCACCACCGTGCTCGAACCCAACATCCATAGCAGCCCCACCACCAAGACAACGCAATAATAACTGGGTACGCCCAACATCGAATATAATTCTTCTTCTTCTTCTTCTTTTTTCTAAAGCAAACAAAAAAAACACCCAAGAAAAAAAAAATGAAAAATATACCCTTGAATTATTGCTTTGATATCAAAATCGTACAAATATATTTATTGTCATTTATATGAATAAATAAAATATAGAAAGTGATGTAGTGAAGTGGAGAGGGTTGAAATAAGACAAGCTAAACTGCCCACTCCTTCCCAGTTTCTTTCGGAATGCCGTTCTCAGATTTTTGTGGTTGTGCCTTTTCGTTGAACATTTCTCTGCAGTTACAATTTTTTTAGGACAACAGTTACAATATTTGAAATTTGGAACAATATAGTTGCTTCCATCCAATTTTTTTTCTTCGTATTTTGACTTTTTAAATCAAACAGTGACACTCGTTCACCACAAATTAAACATATAATTTATATAAATAAATGTTATAAAAATTTGATATTTTAAAATCATATCAAAATTTGATATATCAAAACTATAATTTATTTATAATTTATGGGCAAAGAGTGTTACTAATTAAATAAAAAGTTAAAATAGGAAAGTGTTTTTGGACAGAATGGAGTACTATTCTCGATTAATTATGAGATTGGAAATGCTAATTTTGTTTCCTTTTATATGGATACGCGCACATTGAGGAAAGCATTACAAGGAAAATTCATTAGAGCTACTACTAATTAATTACTCCCTCTGTCCCATGAAACTTGACTTTTGCTTTTTAAGATGGATTTAAGAGGAGTGTATTTTGGTATTAAATTTCTAAAAATGTCCTTTGATTTGATGGGTAAAAGTATGATTTGATGGATAGATAATTAGTAAAAAAGTATGATGTGATAGTTAGGGTATGAAAAAGTAGGGGGTAAAAGTGACTTTTTAATAGAAATGAGAAGTGTTTTGTGGGACGGATAAAAAAAGAAAGGAGAAATGTTTCATGGGATGGAGGGAGTACATATCATCGTTTCAAAAAAAACTACATATCATAATCATCCTCTGATACGGAATATGTTAGGTCATTTTAATGCTTCATTTTGATTGTTATATCTAGTTTCTATTGTTATTATATTTTGACAAACGGATATATTTTCATTGTTTAGATGTTAGTTGTTTAAGTAGTGTCGACTTTTTGCATCTTGTTTGTTCCAATGCCATCCTTTCTGAAGATAATATATATTCTATATATGATAAGAATGAACTATTCTCACCTCAAAAATTGAAGATGAAAATAATGAGTTTATATATGCTCTGAGTTGACATAGCTATCAAATGAATTTAACTTTTTAATGTGATTCAGTCTAAGTGTCTTATTGCTTAGTTCAGTAATCATAATTTTATCCTAAATTTAATCATGGTATCTGAGGTTTTGGGAATTCATTTGTAAAGTGTCCTGAATCGGAAATTGAATAAGAAAATAATGGCATTACAAGCTCTTGAATTGAAATATTAATTGATTAAATTCCGTTTTTTCATTTATTTCAACACAAATATCTATTGGACCAGTCCAATGGACCCTACCAATAAAAAAACAGTATTGCATTGTCAACGGTTTTTATTCATTGAATATGCCCTGGAGTTTTAAAGACATTTTAGCAAGTGTTATTTTGGATGGAGTACAAGCTAGAGTCCGATCCTAGCTAGAGTACAATTAACAACTGTCTTGCGATAAACATGAACTATTGAATCTTACGCGAGAAGACATATATGCAGACCCGCCCATTAGCATGTTCACCAGGTGCTTTTGAACAGGGCCTCCCAAACCTGCAGGCCTATTTTAACACCTTAACTCAAAGCCCAATAATTTGTCCATGCCTGTCCCAACCCAATAATTCGGCAAATCCAACAACTAAAATGGCTTTTTTATGATTTCATTTCCCTTTCATATTTTAAAATATTCTATTCGAGTAATTTATTTTTCAATCCTAAAAACTTAATTTGAATTTTTGGATTATGTTGCCCTCTAATCTTTTGCATTTCACAATATCTAACAAAATTGTTGTTAGTTTTAAAACCATATTATAAAGTTATAAATAATTGAAGACTTAAGAACCATGAAATAAGAAATAATCAGTGAATCGGCCGTAATGACTCCATGCAGTCTCTTATGGATGACATTTCTTGTGAAATCATTATTAGATTATGCTCGGTATATTTAATGAAATAACAAATGTTAATACTCTTGCAATATCATAATTTCTATTCCCATCGTCCCTCTTAGTTCTTCAAGTTTTGGCTTGGACGGTCTTTAATGTAATATTTTGATCATTAATATGTTTATCATTTGAAAGAGGTACGACCAAAGGAAGTCCCTAACACCCTTAGTTCTTCAAATTTTATCTTTTTCAATCAATTATTTTAACGCCCTCACCCTATTTACAATTACTCGAGTGGCAACAATAATTTTCAGGACCCTTCCTATTTATAATTTCTCGAGTGGAAATGATAAGTTTTAGGAAATTTTCAATAAATTCTGGGAGCGGTCGTCATGATACCTACACGGAGTACGATGTTGAGAGTGTTCCTGAAACGCAACCCTCCCAAAAATCAAAAGGGAAGGCCGTGCACCAAGACGGTTCGACAAGTCGGGGACGAAGCAAGCATGGGCGGTGACAGAGGAGGAAGCGTTGGCTCGTGCCCGGGTGAACGTTTCTGAAGACCCGATTAAAAGTTTAGTTGTTTCCCAAGTAATTTTGCTTAAAATTTTATACAATTTTTTTCTTATCTTTTTTTGTAACATTTTTTTTCCGTTTAATTTCTTGATTAGGTACTGCTCAAAATACGGACAACTTTTAAGGTAAGGTCACTACTCAATTCTATGAGCTAATGAGCCTTACCTCTGCCTCAGCACCGTCAGCTCCAATTTTTGGGGTAAGGTCACTACTCAATTCCACGAGCTGATGAACGCTGGGCGGAGTCTTACCTCTCCCTTAGCACCGTCCGCCGCAAATACCACGACTTGAATACAAAAGTCAATGAAATCTTTAAAAAAAAGAATTAAACATACTTTTCTTAAGTCCGTCAGTTACTGCTAATTTAATTTTCCTCACAGCACTTTTCACACACTGATCATTATCAGTTCATCATCTTCTTCCACCTCCTCCATTAAGGTGCGTCTCTGACTCTCTCTCTCTCTCTCTCTCAGAATGCGTGACAATGAATGTGGCTGTTGAGTTAGGTGTTGTGTAATTATCATCATTTGCAAATAGGGTTTAATAATGATCAATTTTAGGGTTTTAATTCTCAAGTTTAAATGCTTCACGTATTTCTTTCCTTCCACTGCTTTTTCCCCTTTTTCTCTCTGTCTGGTAGCTAAATAAATAGGAGTAGTAGCATTTGTACTTTTCTCACCCAAATCACAACCGGCATTCGCCAGGGTGTTAAGAATCGTCGGTCGGTGTAGAGAGAGAGAGCGAGAGAGATAGAAAGAGAAAGAGGGCGGCGGTCGGTGAAGCTGGAGTGTCGAGCTCTGCAAGAATGAGCGCCTCTCGCTTTATTAAGTGCGTCACCGTCGGCGACGGTGCTGTCGGTAAAACTTGCCTCCTCATCTCCTACACCAGCAACACTTTTCCCACTGTAAGTTCCCTTTAATTTTAGGATTTAAGTTTTTTTTTAAAAAAAAAATGAATTTGAGGAGGAATTGTGGCACTTTGGGTGATATTCCTATTCTTTTTTTTCTTAACAAAAAATTGGATTTTGAGGAAGAATTGTGGCAAATTTGGAAGAAATTAGCCCTAATTTCACCCGACGCTGGTCAATTTAGTCATCTCCTGAACATAGAAGAATTATTGAGCAATATGGAGCAGTATTAAAGAATTACTCTGTATTTTTTATGAGTAGTTCCTGAGTTGGGTTTGAGAAAATAGTGTTAGATTCCGTTAAGAAAAGATTGGGATTTCATTTGAGTGTGTGATTAGACAGGGAAGAGGCCAACTCTGCTTGTTCACCAGAGTGTATTTTTGCCTCTTTGGGAGGTTCACGTGGTTCTTAGTTTGCAGTGGAGAGTTTCACATGATTCATGTGTTTCTCTCATTCATTGAGTTAGGTTAAACAGATGCAGGGGATCTCCCTTTATGTGTATGGATTTTTTAGGTTCTTGAAAATTTTCTTCTCTTAGTTTTTTTTGAAGGGGTTATTAAAGCTAATTAATTAAGTCATGCTTATGGAAGGATCTGAATTTTGGCAACATATAAAGAACTGAATTTTGTTTTTGTCAGCCAATCATCTAAAAACTGGTTTCAATAATCGTTTAATACTTTAATACTACAAATTGATAATCTCTAAGGTTACCTGTTAGGAGGTGGATGCACATGTTAGAAGGTGTGAGGGCATAGAAATGCAATTTAAGACAGGTTGAGGAAGGCCTAAGTTGACTTGGCCTTAAACAATTAGATGAGAGACCTTGTGAGTAGTATGAGACTTGTAGTCACAGGGGAGATGACTCTCATCAAGAAAGAATGATGTCACTGTATCCATATAGCCGACCCACCTGGTGGGTAAAGGCTTAACATAGTTTGGTTTGGTTTTATAGAAGTAACAAAATTAAAAAAAATAAAAAAACACATGATTTGATAATGCATAGGACCACATAGGAAAACCTTACTCCACTATAATATGCTTAAGTATATAAAGAATGAAACACATGCCAAAACATAGCACACACGGTATTGTGTACCAATATGGATCAAGGCTAACACACCTAGTGCTGTGAAATTTTGTATTCTTTCACAGCTCAACACCTAATTTAGCCCTTGTGTTCCAATTTAAATCTCAACATTTATCTTATTGGTTTTAATTTTGAGTTTGAATGAATGAGAAAATTTAGCCCTGGCATATGCCAAGGCCTTTTCAGTGGAAACTAGACATTGAAATTTATTAAACTCCTAATACAAGTATGGTTTTATATATGCCCCATTTTAATGTACTCTGTAACTTCTTAGGACCATACAATGGGTTGTGGTTTCATAGTTGATGTTGCTCGATAATTCTTTTTCTTGCCTTAAATCTGTCTTCGGTATCACGAGCAGGATTATGTTCCAACTGTTTTTGACAACTTCAGTGCGAATGTGGTTGTGGATGGGAGCACTGTAAATCTAGGGCTGTGGGATACTGCTGGTTAGCTGTTCTGACTTGGAATTAAACTTGCATCTTATTTGCATCCCTTTTATAATTTGGGGCTGACTCTTATAATTTGGTCAGGGCAAGAGGATTACAATAGGTTGAGGCCCTTGAGCTATCGTGGGGCCGATGTCTTTATTCTAGCATTCTCTCTCATTAGCAAGGCCAGCTATGAAAATGTATCCAAAAAGGTTGTGTTATCCAACAATGTTATTTGCCTCTTGCTTTTTGGTCCCTACACACAAGGGCTCATAGCTGTAAAATGTACTTAAAGCTATTCTATTGATTATTGATTGATTACACATTTGACTCTTTCTTGAATCAAATTCGCTTTAATAATTTGATTAGGGAAATAAAAGAAATAAAGTGAAGATTCATTCAGGAGAGAGAGCCTAAAATTGAGTTTATGCGCATTAACATTTCTTTTTTATTTCTTTCTTTTTGAACTCAGTGGATTCCTGAATTGAGGCATTATGCTCCAGGTGTGCCAATTATTCTTGTCGGGACGAAGTTAGGTTAGTTTATCCTATTTAACTTTGTTTTTTCTTCTCAATTCATTCAACATCCATTCTTGATGCATTACTTTAATTTGGATACTAAGATTAACTTAAAGTAACCAAGATCTTTAATCCCTCAAAACATATATTCTATTGGATTTATTTTGCAATCATGAGCTTATAATAGGTACTATGTTCCTGCTAATGTATAAATAACATAACATGCATCATTCCATTGGATGTGCTTGTGTTAGATCTCCGGGAGGATAAGCAGTTTTTCTTAGATCACCCTGGAGCAATATCTATTACCACGGCGCAGGTATTCTTCAAGCATATCTGCCCTTTTTAGTATTTTACACACACACACACACACGCATGTAGGTGCAGACACTGTCAAGGTCTGCAAGTACTGAGTTGTATAACTAATTAAACATTGCTCTGTTTCTTTGGAAGGGCGAGGAGCTGAGAAAGATGATTGGGGCTGCTGCATACATTGAATGTAGTGCAAAAACACAGCAGAATGTGAAGGGTGTGTTTGATGCTGCTATTAAAGTAGTTCTGCAGCCACCAAAGCAAAAGAAGAATAAGAAGAAGAGAAAGGGTCAGAAGGCCTGCAGTATCTTGTAACTCCCCTACCTACTAAAAAGATGCCAACGAAGGAAAGAGCGGTTTATGGGTTAGTGGTTGCATTACTGACTATAAATATACTACACGCCGTAGGAAATCAAAAAAGCATCTCGGCTTTGTTGGTTTTATGGGTGTATTAATAATTTGTAGGTCTGGGGTTTTGTGTATATGTATGAGATTTCAGATATGTTTATGTTGTACAACTCGACTCATCATCTGGTCTTTTTCTTCCTTTAATCTGTCTGTGTGGTTTGTCACGTAGTTGCATTGAGTATAAGATAGTGTTATAATGCTTGCAACCCTGGATGACATATACATGTTCTTGGTATGAATCTATTCTATAGAATTGATTAGTCGAACATCAACTTCTTGATGAAATCTAGACGATTAAGTTGATGTTCAAATTACAGTACATCGAAATGGTTTGCCGAATGACTACATGTCAAATTGAAAGATACTCCGTATATGCTAAGGATGTTAAGTTATACACGACCTTGTTGAAGACTTTGTGCATACTCTTTTTGGCGCTTAGGCGACAAGTCGCCCCTGATCACCAAGAGCATTGAGCAACCAAGGAATGGCAACCTCCCAGGTTGTCCCCTAAGAGCCAATGGTATGAGTTGACCCCAGTGTCCTGCCCAATTGCCCTTTGTGTTTGTAGTAAGTCGTTTTTTTAAATGGTCATGACGTGATGAACTTGAGCCAAAATATGTGAGATCCAAGTTTTTATTACTACTTTGTTTAACATAATCTTCTTGTGCAACTTTTTGCCGAGAAATGTTTCTTGAACAACTTTTTAGAGCAATTTTTTACTCGTAAAATAAAAAAGCTAGATTTAAAAAACTAATGGTCAACTTTTTTTAAGACAACATTTTAGTCTCCACTTTTATATTTTTGAGATTTTAAACAATTGATAAAAATAATTCATTTTACCAAACAGTTTTTTCTTAAACTACGGAATATTGGAAATAATTGATACAAGCATGCATCCAAAACACTTCAAAAAAAAAAAGATCTAACAACTCATAGTAGGAGAATATCTCAAATGGGACAATTTATTATTTATAGGATCAATCTGCTTTATGGGTGATGTTTAAATAATCTCAAGATCTATATTTAAAATGTAGTTTTTCTCATATATTTTATGTATTTGTAGGAAGATATTTTCTTTTTTGCAAAAAGGTCAATTTCTTTTATACTATAAATAAACTAAATTAACGATAACTTATTTTAAGCTCCCTTTATGTTGACAAATACTTCCCATGTCTCGAAATTTTTGTCACGTTTACTTTTTTAACACTCACGATAATTTTTGTTTATTTATATGTTTTCATTAATTATTTGATAAAATAAAATATTGTTGACACTTTTTATTTCAAAAAATTTGTCATGTACTTTTTAAATGCGTAAATTTTATTTTTTTCAATACCAATAATTAAATAAAATAAATTGAAAAAAATTGATATTTTACCTTATTTTTTAAAATGGGGTAAACATTTAAGAAGAGAAGAAGTATAATAGTGATGTCATATCTTATTGGATGCTTATAATTTTTAAATAAAAAATTTCAATTACCAATATTTCAATTGGGTCGAAAATAAATCCATCAAGATTTATGGAGAGCTTTTACAATAACGATATGAAATTATCCGCCATGGCCGCAGTTCAAATCCCATCAATGTGTTCATTTTTGCCTATTCTAGGGTTTCCTTCTCCCAAATAGCCCCAAATCATATTCTATTTCTTCCCTGGGTTTCAACCTCCGGGGGGGCATTCGAATCGAATTTCTGCCGTAATTCTCTGAATTGTAAGTGCAATAGTATTCTTGAGTACCTTCATTTGAGCTTTTCGCTAAGCTCGGGGTTCTTTCTTCGGTATGGGGTACCTTTTTACCGGGCGAAAAGCTCAGGTTTTTGGTAATTGCCATTGCTAGGTGTTTAGGGTTTCGATGATAAACGGAGCAATGGTCTCCGTTTAAACTCAAGATTTACGCTGGAAGACATCATATCTATTTGCATTTGCACTCTATATTATCTACGATTCAGCATCTATTGTTCTGTTTTCTATCGTTAGCATAGTTTGTTGTCTATGGTGCTATGCATGATTGGAAGCTATTATAGTTTGAGTTATTAGTTTCTTCCATTTTGTTATTAGGGGTGTTTTATAAGCAAAATGGATGATGGGGAGGTTGAATTTTCCAACCAAGACATGTTGTCGAGCCCTTGTATTGGTGATTTTCCAGACAGTGGTTCAATGGGTAGCTTTTGGAATGATATCCTGGGCGATACACATGCTTGCACTCATACCCACACATGCAACCCACCCGGGCCTGATAACTCACACACACACACTTGTTACCATGTTCACACCAAAATAGTGCCTGCTCCGAGTGAGGAGGATAAGGCACCCAGTGATGACACTGCAGAATCTGCAGACAAGAAATCAAAGAAGCGGCCTTCCGGAAATCGGGAAGCGGTCCGTAAGTACCGGGAGAAGAAGAAGGCCAGGGCTGCTTCGTTAGAGGATGAAGTTGTCAGGTTAAGGGCTATAAATCAGCAACTACTGAAGAGGGTACAGGGGCAGGCATTGCTGGAAGCTGAGGTTGCTAGGCTGAAGTGTTTGCTTGTTGATATTAGGGGAAGGATTGAAGGTGAAATTGGATCGTTTCCGTATCAGAAGCCGGTGATGGCTAATCATACACTGCCTGGATCTTATGTTATGAACCCCTGCAATATGCACTGTGATGATCAAGTTTATTGCCTTCACCCTGGCTCCGAGGGCAAGAGCTCGGAGGGTGTGACGTTGAACACTCAAGACATCAGTAATTGTGAGTTTGAGAGTCTGCAGTGTTTGGGCAATCAGTATTCAGGTCTGAATGAGATTCCTGTTTGTGGGGTTGAGAACAGTATGCCAACTCGCAATACCTCTGGAAAGATTAAGAAAAAAGGTAGGTTTCTAATTATAGCTCTATTGAGTACTATTTACATTCTTGGAAAATGCATATGATATATTTTCTCTCCTTTACTTTGAAGAATCTTGAATTTCCCTTAACAGTCTCCATGTAGCGGGTTTTTTTCTTAAAAAGAAAGAAAGACGGGGATAAAATGGGGATGAATGTGCATATTTTCATTAGATGCATTTGTCTTATGCCGAGTATCAAAGTCTCCAAGTAGCTCACTTGATTCCATATAGAGTTTTTTGATGTTTTGTTATGCTATATTAAGGGTAGATGCGATGTTTGTTGAATGATGTTAGAAGGATACCCAACTTTTTCTAGCCACTATCTGAGGTTCCTTGGTACCGGCATGAGAAAATGCTTTGGCATTAAGCCTTTTAATTGAGTTGACCTGAATATTCTTTTCAATAATATTTTAGTTGCTTGCCATCATTGATATACTGTTTCTTTTTGTAGCCATGGCTCAAGCAGCGGCAAGTAGTTGAAGAGCGGGTATATCTGAGGCATCCGTGAGCTTTGAAAGTAATTGCTGCTATCATCTCCTTCAATTCTAATTACTGTTTGGATTTAAAGACTGGGGATCTTATATTCATTAAATTAAATGATCCAATGTGAGTTTTATATGCCTCCTCAGGCTATGGATCTGTGAAGGGATGTTACTCTTTGAATGAACACTGGTCAATGGGTTGGTTGCAGCAAGCACCTAGCGGACATGAATGACTGGATGAAGCTACGGTGGCTTTGTTTTTCATTCGATCTTATTATTCTTAGGTGACATGATTCTTTATGGACGATGTTTTTTGTTCATCACTTGGTCTTATTAATAAACTTATGCTTGATCAAACTTTCATGTCTATAACGTTATCTGCATCCTTGAAACTCATTTTGAATTTTTCATTTCATCACTTCACATTTACTTTTCGAGTGTATTCTCTCATTTAAAAGTAATTCTAACACTACTTTTGGAACGATATACAGAGTTTGAAATAATAAAATGAATAGATGTGAGTTGCATATTGCAACATGCAAGTAGTTGCATATAGTCACTAAATCGAGGCACCCAACTGCATTTTCAAAGTCGCCCCGCTCGCATGTGTGCTCACTCCATAGAACGTAGAGAATGTTGGGGTTGTTGGGATGGACGGAGATTGATAGCTTCTGGGTGTTGACAACCTTGGGATGCAGAATCAATTGTCTTTTGTGGCACTAGGCTTGGAGTTCACATTCAATGTTCTTTTCAATTGTGATGACCATTGTTGTTGTTAACCTGTACACAGACATACCACTAAAACAGTCAAAACAAGAATTCTACCGAGTATAATCGATCTATTGTTGTACAATAGTCTTTTTCTTCTTCTTCTGTTACTCTTAACTATTACTCCACGGTTACCAAACAAGTGCTACATATCAATAAAAATATTATAATCAGGCCCTGTTTATTATCATGTACTGTAGAATAGCCTTCTTCTATTCTAGTCACTCTAATTATTATGGGTCTGTAGATTACTTATTTTTATTAAAATCAAATAAGATTAGACCAATTAGAAATTATTTTAAATATAACTATAATCATATCAAATTGAATCTAACTAGATCAGATCCAAACAGATCACATCAAATCTTTAAAAAATCAGATCAGACCCGCTTTGAAAACAATTCAAGTGGGGCAATTTATTACCCTAAGAATTACTTGATGATCCAGAAGGCTAGGGTGGGAAGAAGATAATAGGAATATATTTATGATAGAATAGAAGTTTCTTCATTTGTTTCACCCTCTTCATATATTAAGAAGGTTAAAATTAGTATGGTTGCTTATGATTGAATGTGGTGATGCTATCTGAGTTGTAAGCCTTGTAAATACAAAATAACATTAAAGTAATATCTAAACCTAGAGGAACTCTAAGATTTGACCTAAATGGAATAGAGGTAGTGATGGATGCCTAATATTTTCTCCCAGGACTGTTGATCGGTCCAGGCCCAAATATTAATTTCCGAGTTTTATAACAGTAACAGAGTGACAAAGAAAGAACAATTGATCGTAAGGAAATGCACAACACACAATGAATTAACTCAAACCGAGGGCCCTTCCTATATTCGCTCTACCTGTGGATCGGAATATTCTATACGCCCGTCGGAATATTCTTTTATTACTCAAGTCTCTCTCTCTGTTAAGAGTTATCTCTATTGTCTAAATTCTTTCTCCTTTTATAGGAGCTTTCCCAACCACCATCTTATCAATATATCCGCGGTGGTTGGGAAATTATCTGAACAATCCTTCTTTTTCCCATAAATACCTTTCTCAGCTTAAGGTCACTCACTTGGGGACAAATCTGTCCGTCCGACTGATATTCTCTATCCATCCTGCCCAAGGAATAATTCATCCGTCCCTCCTCAAGGACGACGCACCCTAATTCTCTTGCAGGGGTGTTCTTCCTTTGGGTGACCGGTCTCAATGGACTGAGGTCTAGGCCATCTCTCAAGCCTGTCCTTCTCTCTTCCCCGGGTTCCTTTCTTCATGTGGATAGATTCTCTTACTGATCCATTGACTATATTACATCTGGGCCGGCTTCTCTTTAAGGTGTGGGCCCTATCTTGGGCTTTGCTCCCATCTTGGGCCCAAATCGCCTTGCTGGTGTTCTGATGGGCTGGTTCCCATCAGGTAAGTTATGCCATAAGTATAGTGAGGTTAAAGGCATGTGGTTCCTGCTGGGTTCAATGACTATTTGGATACAAATATGCGCACGGGGATCTATGAAATGTCGTTTCGAAGGGGACGGGGATCTCACCCACCCAACGAGGAAACTTAGTTGAGTAAATTCAGATTCTTGATTTTATCTGTGTATTGAATTTTGCATTTTTGCTGCAATGGTGGACGAGAAGGAGCAATGGGGGAAACATTGTTCATTCACCAGACCACCGATCGTCAGAGAGCACTGTACCGTCGACGGACCACTGGAATCCACAATCGTCCAAAGTATGTTCATTCATTAATTCTTTCTTTAGCCTCCTAATTTCTTTAGATCGTTAAGAAATAAAAAATTAAATTCATTGAGAAGAACCAAGATCGAGTTGACATTCTTGGAGCTCTGTATGTGGAGAAGTTGGCCACCTTAGAAGATGTGGCAAACCTGAAGAATTGTATGGTGATTCTGAGATCTGACTTGGGAATCGAGAAGTTTATGATCATGGAGTCACACGGTCAGCTGGAAACTGTCAAGTGGGGGGCATAATTTAATCATCACGCGAAGCTCCAAGAACTCTCGAATGGGGGCAGAAATTTTGGAGCTCCACCATTAGGATGAAATTTCGCCCCCATTAGACTACTCCTTAGTTGACTGTGTGATTCCATTAAAATACACATCCAAAATTAATATTGAAAGTTATTAAAAAAAGAAAAATGATAGTGTGTCACCACATGAATGCTACCATATGTATAGTCATGGTTCGCACTTATGATTATCATATGTGGCGCACAGATTATTATCATCTGTGTTATCTGTGCAAGACATGAATTCACTCATTGTAGCACCCATGTGGTGGTACTCTAGCATGATCATAAAAAGGGATGCTTTATATGAGTGCTACCATAAATACATTCATGCTTCGCACAGATAATGATAATCATCTTTATCATTCAAATAATTAACATCAGTGTTTGTCTATGCAAAACATGAGTACACTCTAATAGTATCCATGTAGTGACACCTTGTCAAAAAAATCAAAAGTTATCCCTCAATAGTCGAGTTTAGAACCAAATTCTACGGACGTTACCGAATACCGACTTGAACAATGGGTTGGTTGGCCGGCCAATGAAAACTGACCACGTCACCAAAGCAACATTGGAACGCCCGCGTACAGCCTCGGAGGTACTGCACATAGTACCTTACTTCCGGTGTGGGGCAGCCCTTCCTTCATTCATTCCTTGTCGCCTTCCCCTTCGTCCCCTTCCTCTTCCTCCCTTCATTCAATTCAACCAACCAAACCAAATCAAACCTCTCAGATTCATCCTCCATTGAAGTGTGATGATAATAGTATAATATAAACACTATCATCATTTACTTATTCCCCGTAATATATGCTGGGTAATTATTAGTCCGTATTTCAGAGAGTAGTAGGTGGTTTTATTTTTGGACCCAATTAATTACTCTGTGTAATAATTTCTGGCATATGCGAGAGAGGAGAGTAATGGGATTCATTGATTCGGTCAGTGGCATTGGAAGCGCAGCAGTCTTTGCCGTTGCGAAACATTAAGGTATAGTGAGAAGTGGCATCATCTTCTTCTCGATTCTTTTCCTGAAGAAAAGAAAATGGCAGAAGATCATCAGCCATTGTTGAGTGACTTGGAGGGAGCAACAAAATCCATTGCCTCCGCCTCCGCCGCCGCAGCTCATAAAAGACGTTCATCGTCATCATCATCATCATCACCTCCTCCTCCTCGGGTCGCCTCTCTTGACGTCTTCCGCGGCCTCTCTGTTTTTGTGAGTGTTCCATTTGATTTTGATTTTTTTTGACTTTTTTTTTCGGAAAAAGAAATTTGAATCGGGACGAATTGTTAATAATCCTTCAGCTGATGATGGTTGTGGATTATGGCGGATCTGTTTTCCCGATCATCGCCCACTGCCCTTGGAATGGGCTGCATTTGGCCGACTTTGTGATGCCTTTCTTCCTTTTCATCTCCGGCGTTTCACTCTCTATTGTTTATAAGGTACCCCCTTCCCATCCATTCATTCTTAACCATTAAAATGCTATCTTTTTTTTTTGTTCTTGTGTATAATTAATTCGCTTTTGATCCATTTCATTCAATAACACAAAGGTTCGCATTATTTGATCGAATCCCAGAATGTTTCAAAGAGATTAGAGCCTTCCAAGAAGGCTGTGTTGAAGGCGTTCAAACTTTTTCTCCTCGGTATTTTTCTTCAAGGTAAATGAATTCTTGGATTGATAACTATCTACTACTGTAGTGTACCTATCTTCCATGGATCTCTCTACTTTATAGGGGTCATTCCCAAAATTTCCCATTTCCCAGTCTTGATATTGATTATGCCATATTGTCATACATCCGAAGTGGTTTATGTACTAGATTTTTTGAAGCACATACGGCATTGTTAATTGTTATGGCGCAAACCAACTAGCATTGGCCGGGCTACTCCCCAAACGGAGTTGTTTTTTCAGAAGGATCCCAATTCTTTCCTAGAATTCTTATACCCATTTGAGACTTTGAATGACCCTTTGCTTCTTCTTTTTCTTTCAGGTGGTTTCTTGCACGGAATAACTTCATTGACATATGGGGTAGACATTGAAAGAATCAGACTGCTAGGGATCTTGCAGGTGTGTGTGCATCTTTTATTAAATCTTGATTGATTGATGCTTTCTTACCATTCCGCCTAGATTTGCTTGAATGCGTATGAATTTAAGATCAATGGTTTATTATGTGTTGCCTAACTTAACAACAGAGGATAGCCATTGGCTACGCTGTGGCAGCTTTGTGTGAGATATGGCTTCCTTGCAAAAAGAAAACAAAGGGAGGTTTCTTCCTCAACTATATCTGGCATTGGTTAGTTGCTTTTTTAGTAACTGAACGTTTCACTTTGATCGTTTTTGTGAAAAAGCTTTCGAATGTTTTACTGGTTCTCTTTCCTTTATTTTTATTTATATATAGGTGCACTGCATTTCTGCTCATTGCCATATACGTGGGGATATTATATGGCTTATATGTTCCCGATTGGCAATTCAGTGTCCCTCAGATGACTTCTTTGCATGCATACAATGGAACTATTGTTTATAAGGTTTGATCATCGGCATTTTCCTTGTATTTTTGAGTTGATTTCGGCATTTGTGGTGTAAGCCACTTGAAATCTGATTTTTTTATAACTTTAAGTATGCCTCACATATGAGAGTTGGAGTAAAGATTCATAACCATGATGATGCCTAGGCAATAAGATTAAGAAATCCAAATATGGTAGATTCACATTCAACTATTATCTTAACAGGTTAATTGCTCCAGTAGAGGGGATCTTGGGCCCGCCTGTAATTCAGCTGGAATGATAGATCGCTATATCCTAGGAATTGATCACCTCTATGTGAAACCAGTATATAGAGAACTCGCAGAATGCAAAACATTGAATCCACCTTCGTGGTGTCACGCTCCCTATGAACCTGAGGGTGTCTTGAGGTATAGCCAATAAAGGGGTTACTTTGTTTCTTCTATAAATCACAAACCACAAACTAGTTGAACAATTGTGATGAAAATCAATCATTTCTCTCTTTCGTTCGTTCATTCATTATTATAATGAGTCACATGTAACTTATGTAAGCAGCTTTTGAATTCCCTCTGTGTGAACAGTTCGGTAACAGCTGCTGTCGCCTGCATTCTTGGGCTCCAGTATGGCCACATCCTCTTGCACTCCAAGGTACCTTCTATTCATTAAGGCTTCATTCCGCACGCATGAATGAATGAACCCACAATTTTGATACATTTCCTCAACTGTTTTTGCACCACAGGAGCATAAAGACCGATTAAACAACTGGTTGGCCCTGTCATTCCCACTTTTGGCAGTTGGATTGTTGCTCGCATTCACGGGTAAGTAAACATTTCTTTAGTCATCAAATGAGATGAGATTATAATGAAATTCGCCCTAAGATTTGGACTGCGGGCAAAGTTTAAAACTATATATGTACGCTTGCGTTTCTCATACTTGTTTCTATGATGGATGATGGTATAATCTGTTTGAATCTCATCATGTGCAGGTATTCATCCCTTCAACAAATCGTTGTACTCCGTAAGTTATTTGATGGTTACCTCCGCATCTGCTGGAATTACATTGTGTGCTCTGTATTTACTGGTGCGTATAGTTCGTTGTAATAATAATAATAATAATAATATGGGCTTGCATTTTTTATCGGTGGCATAAAATGGTGCTGATTTTTCATCATTCTCTGTCAATCTGTGGTGGTTAAGGTTGATGTTTATGGCCAGAGGCGGCTGACATGGGCACTGGAGTGGATAGGGAAGCATTCTTTGACTATATTCATCCTTTTAACATCCAATATAGGTGTCATTGCAGTACAAGGCTTCTATTGGAGAAGTCCAGAAAACAACATAGTAAGTAGTAAGCTATGGAGTATTAGATTGAATCAAATTACTCATAGTTCCTTGTTTTGACTATTTCGCATAGAATGCCTATATATGAAGGTACTAATCATACGCAACACGCATATTGGCTATGTATTATAGGTTCGTTGGATTGTAAGACAAGTCGTGCATAAAGACTAGCTATGAAGCTTATGTATCACTTCTTCATTGTGCATTCCACACGATCCATCACAGGCTTATTATATTCAGATTATTTATGGCAAATGCTTCTGCAGAAGGAAGCCAGTTGGGGAAGATAAGAAACCCAAACAGTTGGGATATGGGTTTTACTTCATTTGTTTTTTATTTTTTCTATTGGCATTCATTAACAATATCACAAACTTTGTGTGTGTATATCTTCTCTTGTATGTTCTCGTGACCTTTGATAATTACACATTTCCTTTTTTATTTTTTTCATGTATCGCTATCGTTACAAATGGATATTATTAATAGTGCATCCAGACATTTTTAATAGTGTATGGCAAAGGGATATAATATTCTATTTTAACTAAAATGTCGATTACGAAAATGATGATTGTGGATGGCAAGATTCGCATCAGTGCCGGATAATAGGAGAGAATCATCTCCCTATTAATCAATTTAATTAGAGTAATTCTCAAAATGTTACTTAATAACTATGTTTTTTCCTAAATTAGTGATTAAGATGAACTATTTATCGAGATGACACTTGCTAATTGAAACTAATGCTCAGTTTTGTTTCTCTGACTAATGATGGTCAAAGTAATGTGAAAATGATATTAAATTTTATATTAACTTCCAAATTGATCATATATAATTGGACGTTTTTTTAAATTAGTTTGTTTTCAATATACAAGAGAAAAAACATTATTTTGTGTATTTTTCTTTCTTGCATTTTCTTTACTTTTTTTCACACCATCCAAACACATCATTAACGTTATTGTAGCATTCTTTAAAAAGTAACTATTGTCAAAAAAAATTTGTGGCCAAACACATTAATAAGACGTAAAGCAAAGATTTTTAGAAAGAAAAAAAGACTCACAACGGCTAAATGGGAGGGAGTAGGACAGGTAAATGGACCCAACATCGATTTTCTCGTTTGGGTTTTCCCAAAGAGTAAAAAATGAGAGCGACGAAAGGGACAACAATTTTTCCGTTGGGCGGTCCTCACTGGTTGGTGCGGACAGTGAGGGGTACCCAAATATATCATTTCATTTTAGGCCTCCTCACATGCTCTTCCTGTCTTTCCTGGCCCACTTTACCTGTTTCTCTTTTTAATTGTGGCCCCCATCATTTTCCTGCTTTCTTCCCATATTACCCCCACCACCTCCTGTCTTTCTTCTTCTTCCTCCTCGTTATATACCCACTCCCTCACTCTTCCCCAACTCTACTAGTCAAAATAAATCTCAAAGTTTCAGACAAACAAAAAAAAACAAAAGGAAAATATGTCCAAGGAAGTGAGCGAAGAGGGACAGGGCGCGCACCAGCACGGCGGCAAGGACTACGTGGATCCGCCGCCGGCGCCTCTGTTTGACTTCGGCGAGCTCAGGCTCTGGTCTTTCTACCGCGCCGTCATAGCGGAGTTCATAGCCACACTACTCTTCCTCTACGTCACCGTCGCCACCGTCATCGGCCACAAGAAGCTCAACGCCGCCGACCAATGCGACGGCGTCGGCATCCTCGGCATCGCCTGGGCCTTCGGCGGCATGATCTTCGTCCTCGTCTACTGCACCGCCGGGATCTCCGGCGGCCACATTAACCCGGCGGTGACGTTCGGGCTGTTCCTGGCGAGGAAGGTGTCTCTGGTGAGGGCGGCGTCGTACATGGTGGCGCAGTGCTTGGGTGCCGTCTGCGGAGTGGGGCTGGTGAAGGCCTTCATGAGGGGCTACTACAACAAGCTCGGCGGCGGCGCCAACGGGGTGAGCGCCGGATACAACAACGGCACCGCCTTGGGGGCGGAGATCATCGGAACCTTCGTCCTTGTCTACACCGTCTTCTCCGCAACCGACCCCAAGAGGAGCGCGCGTGACTCGCACGTCCCGGTAAATATCTTCTCGCTTCTTCGGGTTTGATCAATTTGTTAATTAAACCCTACCTTCGAGGATTACGTAGACTAATGTAATTAAACCCTACTCGCGGGCGAGGATTACGTATAGGTATTGGCTCCACTTCCGATAGGGTTTGCGGTGTTTATGGTTCACCTGGCCACCATTCCCATCACCGGAACAGGGATCAACCCGGCGAGGAGCTTTGGCGCCGCCGTCATATACAACAGCCCCAAAGTCTGGGATGACCATGTAAGCATATACCCCGTAGTAATTATTATAATTAAATCGATCTAAGTATTTAACTAGCTAGATAGGTTATTATTATTAGAGTTTAATTTGTTGGATTGATTAATTAATGAATGGGAATGTGCAGTGGATCTTCTGGGTGGGACCGTTCGTGGGAGCATTAGCGGCGGCGGCGTACCACCAGTACATCCTCAGAGCAGCGGCGGCGAAGGCTTTGGGATCATTCCGCAGCAACCCCCCAGCCAACTGATGGATTTTTTCTCGCTTACATAGTTCTCCGGCTGGCCGCCCGTCTGAATTAATCCTTTGCCGCCCGCGGCGATCATTAATTTGATTAATTATAAGCGCGCTGCATGCTAATTAATCCTTCAATTATATTATTCGTCTTGCTAGCTAGCTTCGCCTTACCCTTTTTAATTTGTTTGTTACATGTCGTACTTAATTAGCTTTCCTTCCTTGATGATTCTTAATTAGTCCTCGGCTTTAGATTGTAATTGAAGTACGTACGAAGTAAGTACCATGGAGTATTGTGTTTTTTCGATGTTAATTTGTTGGCAGGTTTTTTTATGGTTTTTTTTATGCATAGTTATGTTATGACCCCTAAATTTAAGAATATGGTTTTTAAAAGAACTAGCGTGATACGGGACTATATTACCATTATTATTATAGGTAGTTTTAATATTTATAGTTAGCTAATTATATTATCATTAGGAAGTATTGTTATATAAGATTATTAGTATTTTGTTTTATGTAATTACCTTGTATGGCTAGATTTTTTAGATCTACCATCTGTATGTGTTGTAGGCTTGTAGTCATTATTTATGAATATAACAATAAAAAAATAGTTCTTCTTAATCCTAAACTCCCTCTCTCCTCTCTCTCATCTTCTTCCTTTCTTCCTCTTTTCTCCCTTCAATCTCTCTTTAATCTTTTCTTCTCAAACCTCTTAAAAGTTCTCAATCTTTCTCTATTCCGTTGTCGTAAAACATGGTGTAAATTTAAAAGTGAAGTACTCCGTATTTTTTTGATGTAATATAAAGTGAAAGAAAAAATACTACTCCTTTCGTACCCCAGTATTTGTCTACTTTCATTTTTACACACCATCCAATGCACTTCTTTAATTTATTTTATCTTGTAATTTGTATATATTAAAAAATTATAAAAATTATATATTACTCCCTCCGTCCTAAAACTTTCTTCCCGGTTCGCAAAACGAAGAAAAATCCCAAATTTTTTCAATCTATTTTATTTAAATATTGGTATAGAAATATAAAATAAAACATACATATTTAAAAACTACATTAAAAGTACAACAAAACAAGTGGTGACAAGAATATTTTATTTTATCATATAGTCCATGAAAAAACACAAATAAATATAAATTCCCGTGAAATTGGAATAGTGCTCTGGAAAGAAAGTTTTAAGACGGAGGGAGTAATAATCTATATGTTAAGACAAATCAAACAAGATCACACATGACTATATTTAAGTTTGCACATTGAGAGAATTTGATGAGTCAAAGTGCTTAGATGAACAATTTCAAAAATCAAAAGTTGACAAAAACTGGAGGACGGAAGGAGTAAGAAGTATACTCCCTAAAAATAAAATGCGTAAAGAAACATTGAAACAAGTGGGAGCGAGGGGGTATTTTACTTCGACTTTCAACGCTTGAAGCAAAAAAATGCGTACGGAGTACCCAGTAAAGTCAGTGTTGAAGTGTTTTTTTTTCTCTTCTTCTTCAAAGAAAAGAAAGAAAAAAATAAAGAGAAATGCTAGAGGTAAACCCAAATGTACATCACCTTCTTCTCTACTATACATTTTTATTTGATTTTTATTTACTTATTTTTTTTAAATTTTTTGCCTTTCTTTTGCTTTTTTTTTTGCTTTTTTTAATGTACCTCTAGCATTTTTTCAAAAATAAAAAACAAAAACAGAAACTCTTGTCCGGGAGCGGGTAGGGGGCAGAGAACGGTGCAGAGGTGACAGACAGACCAGACCCGGGAGCAGAGCTGGCACCCACTTTCATTTGGTTCAAACTTCATACTGTCACGCGGCGGGGCCCACCCTCCCTCCAATCCAATCCAACGTTTCCAATGCATGTGACGAACACACCACTATATGTCTATATCAACACCCCTCACCATTACATTTTTTATGAGCATTAATTTTTTTTAATTACTGGTATCTGACCACATCTTTTTTTTTGCTTGTCTTCTTAATCTGATTCAAAAGAGTAAATTTATAAACCTTGTAATCACTTTATTTGTGATCATAAGAGCATCTTCAATGGATATTGTTAACTTTGATAGTAGATACTCCCTCCGTCCCACTGTCTTTGTTCACTTACCTTTTGGCACACTATCTAATGCATTTCTTTAATCCATTTTATCTTATAATTTGTATATTAAAAAATTATAAAAATTATATATTACTCCGTAATAATCTATATGTTAAGACGAATCAAACAAGATCACACATGATTATTTTTAGGCTTACACATTGAGAGAATTTGATGAGTCAAAGTGCTTAGATGAACAATTCCAAAAATCAAAAGTGGACGAATATAGCGGAACAGAGGTAGTATTATATTTTACACTACCAAATGTGTTTCAGCAATCCATTTTTTCATAGCTATTCCAACCATATCTCTTAAATAATTTACTTTTTTTTTTATATTTTATTACTTTTAAACTATTTATTTGTGATAGTATTTATATTTTTATGGTACATGTACTTCAAACTATACATATATTGAATATTTTCATAAGAAACATGAAATATAAATGTATTTTAATAAATATATAGAAAAAATAAATTTACAAGATGAGAATAGCATGTAGTGTTCTAATACAAGGTGAGACTTACTTTTTACAATATAGTGTTAATTTTGCACTACTCATTGGAGGGATAATTTTGCTATAGTGTTTTGTATGTATAATGTATTTTTTTTTACAATATACAAGACCCATTATAGTTGCTCTAACATTTCTTTTATTGTATCCTCTTTGTAGACATCCCCCCATCATTTACTATTTCAGGCGTGATCCATGTGATTATCATTAATGAGCATAATGTGACCCAAGAGTGTCAAAACCAAAATCATACTCTCGGTGGGATCAAGTGCCCATTTTGCCACGCTTTCTGTACGAGCAATTGAAACATGAATTGATTCGTCACTAAACAATTTGTTTTATAAAAAAAAGCTCTCACCCTCAACACAAACGAATATAGGCATTGTATGATACAAACTTAAACTGTGAAAGTAATCCTCACTAAAATCCAAAATCTGCTGCAGAATTTACAACATCTCCCCTTAAAAAAACACCAATAAATGAAAGCAGCAAAAGTGTACAACTCCCTGCCTAAATTTCCAAGCCCAAAAAAAGAGTGAAATTAGTCACTCATGTTTTGAGGGGGATCCCCCCGTAAAATAATTTCCCAACGCTGTTGAACATTTCAAACAAAATCTGCAGAGAACCAAAATATAGCATAATTCACATGCGAAAATGCTTAGTATGAAAAAAACGCAGCACTGAACGAACCGAATTACCCCTTTATGATGATGGTGCACAGTGTAGGAGATGCTTAAACTCGTCGCATTCTGCTCCAATTTCACTCAAAGCATGGAAAAGTTTTGGCACAATCTTTGCTAGCATTAACTTGAAACCAACCGAGTTTGATTGTGTGTTGCTATTACTGCTGCTAGATGCGTCTTGGGTTAGTGTGCCAATAAGGCACCCCTTCATATACGCATCACATGCTTTAAGAATATAATAACCCCGCCTCCTGAAGTGCTCTTTAACAAGTTCCTCAAAGTCCTGCATACATACAATCAATCAAATGAGAAAAATCAGCTCTACATGTGTGGAAAGTTGCATAACAATTTACAAACATTGAAGAAAGAAAACGACAAGAAATCATAGAGCAGTAAAGATAATTATGTACATTTTTCCTCTTCCTCCAAGATCAAGTTCAAGTAAGCTATATGATTACTCTATATCATAAAAATCAATAACAATTACTACTACTAACAATTACCTCAGAAGATAGGTGGACCGTGGGTAACTGAGCACAAAAATATCACAAAACATCCAACCCAGTGGAATCACATAAATGGGGTGTGTATACGGGATGGGGGTGGGTGTAAACATACTTGACCCCCACACAGAAAAGATGCAAACATATCTTAAAACAAAACAAAAAAACAGTAACTTGGCAAGTTCAGGAACAAAAGTAAGAATCACCTTAAGGGGTTTCCGCATCAGAAACATCATTGTTTTGCAGTTCAACAAAAATGTGTTTTCATTGTAAGACAACGAATTTTTCTCTCCCTCAGCAGTTCCAATTTGTTTGTCATATCCAGCTTCGTTGAAATATGGTTTGGAATTTAGAACAAGCCCTTGTAGTGAAACTAGGACCTGAACTATGCTCGAGGACGAAGGATCCCAAACCTCATTTCCTTTACCTGTCCAGGTATTCAATAGGCTAAGGCAAACTTTTCCTTCCTCATATAGGTTTGGATTAACTCGCCACCCTCCAGAATGATAATATGCTGACTACAATGCAAGAAAAGGAGCTCAAAAAATGAATTTGAATTAAATGAATACATATTGGCTTTATAGAGGGAAGCAGATTCTTTCAAGGTCATTGAGTTTATTTACTTTTACTATTATTATTATTATCATTGTTGCTCCATATTATTATTATTTGGATGGAAGGGGGGTACATAAATTTGAATAATTACATGCCCAAAGAGTTCTTCAAGCAAAAAATACTCTTACCGGTGCAACATCAGGGTACTCTGGTGGAAGATAAAAATCAAAGAAAAATAAACCATCTTGGTAAGGTGTGCCATATGGTCCAACAATCACCCCCCTCACAAGATCCATGCGGTCTTCATACACACGCACAAATATACCATCTGTTGAAAAATATCCAACGTAAAAGCAAATCATATGAATTGTATCAAATTATCAACACGCAAAGCAAGAACCACACAGTTTCAACATTGATTTGGAAAAATGATTAAGTTACCTGGCAAGTTATTCTGAAGGAAGTTCCAATCTTGCCGAACTTTCTTAAGCCACTTCCTTCCAGTGTTCTACAAATACATGGATAGGTCACAATGAAAAACTATTTGTTGCAAATCAGCTGACACCATGATAATTGTCAATTGAGTATGAGACACTGCTTTTTTCAGTGAGAAGACCTCAATGAGGTTTTGGTTGAGATCAGGTGGAACAGGAACGTTTGGTCTAACAGTACGAGCAGGGTTTAATTTTGTACTTAAGGACCTCCTCCCCCCCCCCCCCAAACACCCTCACAGCGTAAAGAGGGTATACAATAAGCAAGAAAATTATAGTATAAGAGCGGATTATCCACAGTATGAATAAAAACCAAGCAAACTAACCTGATCCCTAGCACCGACAAAATAATGATCAAGTGGATCAGTTGTGATATCAAAGTTTTTGAAAGCATATGCCCCAGCTGCATGGTGTACTAGTTCACTAGTTGGTTCTGCCATTATGTTACATGCAGCTTCTGTCACATCTGAATGGTGTATGGCCTCCACAACATCAATCATTCCACTGTTACCCATGTCACCTGGACTTTGGCAGCATTTATCATCAACAGGACCCATTCCTCTATCCCATTCAGGGTGTTGGATCTCACTTTCAAGTCTGGAATCTGAGCTTAGGGAATCTGTTTTGGTCCTGTCCCTTGAGAATATTCCTAACGTTAGCCTGGATACAAACCCCAATGCAGTAGCCAGAGCTCCATTTACTCCAGCCCTTTCTGTATTCATCGCACTCCCTTCAGTCTCAATAATGTTACCAGTAGCATTTTGAGTACCAGGGTCCTATAAGGTAGAAGATGTTGTTCAACACTATATACATTATGGTATGTGGTTTGATGTGTAAACAACAAATTATCTTGCATAAATTTTTCAATTCAGGAATGAATCAAATTCTATGGTGTTTTCTCTTCTAACTTTCAATATGGAATGAGTCAAATTCTGTGATTTTTCCTCTTCTAAGTTTCAATATGTGATCAAGGTTACTAATTACCAAGTAATTTAAGAATTTCATCAATAGGTAAATTTTGCAGATGCAGAGTATTTACTATTAATAGTCAAATAAAACTTTCAAGTCGGGGTTCTCTTGGAAACTCCCTCTGTACTTTCACGTAGGGGTAAGATCTGTGTACACACACCCTCCCCAGACCCTACATTTGTGGGATTCAACTGGGTTGTTGTTGTTGTCAAATAAAACTTTCAGAAATCAAGATAAGTTATAAGACAAAAGATCTCAACTTCTTTGATATTCCCCATATCCGTGTACTTATGTATTGATGCTTCTAAACACAATGTCATTTTTAACAAGAAAGAGTTTGCCCTTGTTTTTTAAAACTTGTATTGGAGGGAATAAAGAAAAGTTCTATTATATGGATAGTAACAGCATCCAAACCCCAAGTCTGCCCCAAATATAGCAAGTAAATGTGATGGACAAATGAACCACATCCTTGAATGTTCCATAAGCATATGATTAAAATGGTATTGATCACAATGTTCTGGAACTGACCAACCTCGTTTGCATTCTCTAGGCTATTTAGCTCATTATCATCAACTGTTTCCCAGCTTGCTTCATCATCACTAATGTAACTTCCAGAAGCAGCCACTGAATCATCACCATCACGATCAACAACATAAATTGCTTGTGGGCCAACCTAACAAATTGAAAACTCCATTAATGCATGATAGATGTTGCTTCTTGTTATAAAAAGAAAATTACCAGCAAAAAAAAATCACAAGAAGACAGTAAATCCATAATCCATATACTTCTAAGAGGAAACATAGATGACCGATAGTTAAGAGTTTCCTCATCACATTGTGATGCTATATGCAGTAGGAGAGTGACTTAAATATCTTGTGCAACAGAGGAATCAATAGTCTAGGAACAATCAAGAAGTCAGTAATGAATTAGATTAATTTCTTAGCAGCACATTGCCTGATCAGACCAAATGCAGCATATACTATGCAATATTTGTGATGTTCACCACCCATCACAATGACTTCAACTCAATGTAGTGACTATAAAGATTGGGCTAATAAGATCCTTTCTCTAAATGTGAAGGGAGTAGTTTGGTAATTTGGAAAGTGAAACAACAATTCAATTTGACAATAAAATCAACCACAATCCAATATAATCCCACCTCCGTTGGGGTCTTTGGGGGGTCAAGATGTACGCAACCTCACCCCTATAAAAAATAGAGGAGATTGTTCCCGTTAGACCCGTGAAGCATTGATGTGTTAGACCCTTGATGCATTTACTTCCCACAACTTCATCAAAAGAATAAATGAAAGTTTAATGTGCCATAATGATTTAGTCCATTATTTACCGGAAGGAAAAACATTGTCAAACATGGCTCTTTCAACTCCATTGGCATTGGATGACAAAACAACAATTCAATTATTTCCAAGAAAAAAGTTAAAAGTGACACTTTCAATGTGAAACAAAAGATAGAGAAATTGTCACCTCCTACATGATCTACAGCTCTACACATACCGTTGATATCATCCCATCAGCCCACATTACATCAATATCTCCATTGTTTAGCCCTATGATGTTCCCAACCCACGAGAGATCTGAAAACAGGGTAGGAGACTCATCAGCCAATGCACTTCCATCATTTGTGCATCCCAAATGCATTTCCAGATCTTCTTTCTCCTCATTTGGACCAACTAGTGGATTACAATCATCAACAGGGTTCTCCAGAGTTCTGACTTGTGCTGGAACAGAAACAGATGGCAACCGAACAACTACATCTCCATAACAGTAATCATAGTCAGGATGTGTTTCCAACTCATACACACTAACCACTTCCTCTTTATCAAATTCTCTGAGATCCTCTGCTCTGGCAACTGGTTTTAACCACCTCACACAGGCTGTTCGCTCTTTTGCATTCACACTTCTTACAACACCAATACGTCTAGTTTCACTGACATCATCAGTGTCTTCAGAAGCTTTCTCTACTACGTACTGTTCAGCAACAAATTCATGATCTCCTGGGTTATCTACAGGAATCAAGGATGTGGATGCCAAACCTCGTTCTATTGTTCCATCTTGCCAAGCTACATCAATGTGTGACATAGTATTCACAATCAAAAGGGCTCGTTCAAAATTCTCTTCCTTTTTCCGAACTTTCTTATCCCTCCTGACTACAGCTCTACGAATCTTTTTCCTGTGGAGTGGCCAACTCTCATGGACTGGTTCTTTTGATCCAGGCAATGTACTACCACCTGTAGTAGATTCCAGAGTCCCCTTGTCACAATTCAAGTCCAAAGAAGTGTCGGTATCATTTTCTATGGATTCACTATTGCATTGTGACCCCTCTGAATCACAATCTGCACCTGCTTGTGCAGATTTAGAAGCTTCTTCTTTCGTAGAACCATAAAGATCCATCTTCGATAATCTGTGGTCCAAAAAGACTAAAGAAGATGGAGGGGGTGAAAGAAGAAGACACCAGTCACCCAACTGCCAGTTTGCATGTGTGAAACACGATAACATTTTCAAGTTTTTGGGACTTTGCTCTTGAGCTGGATGACTGGAAGAATCAGGTCCATATCCAGCAGAACAAATCCAATGAATGAACACAGACCCAACAGTAACTTTAGTTACTGTGCCTTCCACTCGGTGAGCTTTCCATGAGCCAGATATCCACCTTGAGTCCTTGAAAACTGATGAAGAGCTTGCTTTCACACGCTGACCTGGGTAATAAGGGAAACTCCCATCTTCGAGGTTATTCTTGCCAACAGGTTTAAGGCGTAATGGATCTGCCTTGATAACTTTACATAGAGAACCGTCATCAAACATCACAGTCACATTATCTAAAACATCATCAATTCTACCAAGCCAGGTGCCTAGCACAACATAGTCACCAACTGCAAACTCCCTAACGCGTTTCAAGTCTCTGGTTGAGATGTCTTTCACAAAAGAACCATCATGTCTTAGTAAAGTAACTGAAATATTAACGTCAACCACGAGGCCAGCTTGGCTTGTTGGGTAAGCAGCAGCAGCAACATAATCCCCTGGTAGAAATCCCCTATCAATGACTGTCACATCATTACTAGATAGAACCGACTCAGTTTCATCCAACCAGATTACTCTAACTTGATCAGCTAAAAGACGATCACTTTTGTGGTTACTGTCTGTGTTCTCGCCATGGCAACCCTCAGTGTTTTCATTACTGTCCAGTTTTCCTTCAACGCCCTTAGCATCATCATCATTGTTGTCATCGCCGTCATCATCATCATCTTCTTCTTCTTCTTCTTCATCTTCTTCTTTTTCATCTTCTACCTCCTCTTCTTCATCCTCACTAATGCCACTATCTGAGTCTGAATCTGAGTCGGAGTCACCAGCAGCTTCAGCCACTATCCCTATTTTGCCATCCGTTTTACTTTTCACAACATCTTGTCTGAAGATATAGGGTACACATTTTACATTCTTGGGAACATCATCCGGTTTGCATGTAGATCTCGTGTTGGGATCACAATTATGCTCGTTTGAAGCAGAACCACCTTGTTGCAAATTGGAATTGCTCTTTGTAGTCATTGCAGGTCCATCAACATTAGAAGCCTCCTGGATTCCTCCGGCTTCCATCTAACAAATTCATGAGAGTACTGTGAAAAAAATACTTTCATCTCCATTTGAAATAAACTAATTTTTCTATATGTTTTTAATATCCAGCAGACAAAGTTCATCTTTATCAGAAAAATCATTTGCACTAATAGCTAGAGTGCTACAGGAGCTCCAGATTCCCAAGATATGGTCAAAGCATCTGTGAAGCTCCAAAACAACAAAAGGCAATATGAAAACAACTCGCCCGGATACATAGTTATATATATGTAGGCTCAATGGAGAAGATCACAATGCAAAATAAAATACATAACTACTACAGCATTCAGATAAATTGTGCTCGTATATGAAATTATGATATGTCAGATTCATTCAAGATTAAATGAAAAAAAAGAGGGATAGGTATAAAATATACCTTCGGACGGGTATGAAAGATGAGAAATAAAAAATATATACCTTCAGAATTGGAGACGCTCCAGGAAGAAGAAGAAACTAAAGTCCCGAATAATAAGATAATATATTTGGGACAGATATTATTCGGTGAATTCCATTGATTGCTGCCTAGATTTTATAATTCCTCTGGTCCCGATTTGAAAACGTTTTGCTCGGATTCGAAGTCCAGGAATGAGGAGGAAGCTGCAATGGAATATAACCACGGACAACAACTTACGAGCTTGTGATCATAAATAAGAAGGCTTCACGACGGCTCTCGATGAATCAATAATCTTCCCCGATATCTCTTTCTCCTCCAATCGGCGCTACTGCTGGCGCGGACCACTTCTTTTTCAGTATAAATATGATTAGCTTGATCGAATCATTCGCATGAAGAAGCGCCCCTCGGAATTCCAAGAAGAGAAATGTGGGAAGCTCAGCTGATATCGCTCGTTTGCCCTCGCTTGGTTCATAAGCAAAGAAAGCAGGTGATTGGAGGAGGAGGAGGAGAACAGGTGAAGAAAGGCATCTGAGAATTTAAGAGTTAGGGAATTACAAAGTACTCCCTAGTACCTAACATACAATATGATACTTGTATCATTATTAAAATTATTAAATTCAATGTATTTTTTCGTAATTTACCATCAAAACTATTAAAAAAATTGAATACAAAAATCTAAATGGGAGCATGTGGTTTAATTCGATGCAAAGCGAAGAACCTTACCAGGGCTTGATATGCCGTGAATCCTCTTGAAAGGGAGGGGTGCCTTCGAGAACGCGGACACATGTGGTACATGGATGTCGTCAGCTCGTGCCGTAAGGTGTTGGGTTAAGTCCTGCAACGAGCGCAACCCTCGTGTTTAGTTGCCATTGTTTCGTTTGGAACCCTGAACAGACTGCCGGTGATAAGCCGGATGAAGGTAAGGATGACGTCAAGTCATCATGCCCCTTATGCCCTGGGCGACACACGTGCTACAATGGCCGGGACAAAGGGCCGCGATCCCGCGAGGAGGAGCTAACCCCAAAAACCCGTCCTCAGTTCGGATTGCAGGCTGCAACTCGCCTGCATGAAGTCGGAATCGCTAATAATCGCCGATCAGCCATACGGCAATGAATTCGTTCCCGGGCCTTGTACACACCGCCCGTCACACTATGGGAGCCTGAACAAAAAGACTAAAGTCATGTGTTCTCTTCACCTAATTTGATTGGTTCTGATTTGATTGGAATAAGTTTTGATCTAAACTGAATGTAGTTATATTTAAAGTTATTTCTGATATGGTCTAATCTGATCTGATTTCAATAAGAATGAGTAATAAGGAAAATAAATAAATTGAGGAGAACATGGTCTTAGCGAGTTGTGTTTTCTCATTACTCATTACTTTTTAGGTTTTAAATTTTCTTTATCAATTTGAAAATTATTACTCCAATTTTAATGTCAATATTTTTCGAGATTTGTAAATAAGCACAATAAAAAATAAAGAGATCACGAATGATATCCAAATTTTATATTTTATTCTAGCTTAATATTCTGGTGTATTTAAAGTTCACATCAAATTATTAGAAATTTCATTTGCAATAGAAGATTAAAATTTGATTTATACTAATTAAAATACAAATAATAAAATTTAAAATTAATAAAAGTACAACAACGACAATCCACTTGAATCCGACAAGAGTAGTGTCAAAAATAGTGAGGTTGTTTTCAAAGAGATCCCGACCTAGTGTCTGGAGAGAGTGTGTTTTGTTTTATTCCATCACACTCCCAAAAATTAAAAAAAAATAGTGAAAAATTTGGAGTGGTTTTTTTATTGTTGACACTCCCATTGCCTCTTAGAAAAATACGTTGAGAGAGAAGGCCAGAGCTTACACTTTGACACAAGCATATTCGAACGCGAAGAAAGCAGAGCAGAGGCGACAACCACGGATCTACGAGAGTAAACTGCTAAAACTTCATTTTCGAACTGGAATATTAGGATTTATGATAGAATATCTGATTTGTCGCAGCATCTGATTGTTGTCTCTCTAAAGTTGGTTCATGCGTGGCGTATTTCTGTTCGATTTTGGACAAAAAAAATTGAAGCTGTGATGTTGTTTTACCCTAAATTTCTTGGATATTTGATCTCAATCTGGTGAATTGTGTTCACACATGGTCTAAACCAGTTCTGGCTGTTGAACGTAGCTCTCTAGGCGAAATTGGAAATACAGAGCCTTTAATTTACTCCCACATACGGAGTGTTATGTTAGACATTTGCATAGGAAAGTATCCCGTAGTTTTTTAAAAATAATTTGAAGGCCACTAGTGGTTCAACCTAGAGTAATTTTGTTTGGGGAAATGTCTATATGAATGACTATTTTCCATGTTTTTATGGCTTCTTCTCTTGTTTCTGTCTGCAGTTTGATACTCCAATTGGGCAAAGTGATCGGATTATCAAAGATGATAGTCTGTGTTGCAGTTGTCGGACACCAGGTAAATATGCTGTCTCTTTAGAGATTTGTTTCCTCCGATATTTTCTTATGGAACTCAAGTTGTTCATCTATTGATTCTGCTCATGGTCTTTCCCTGCGGGCAGAACAATCCACTGTATATACAAAGTTTCACGGAAGCTGATGACGCCCTAAAGCTTCATCACATAGTTCACTGCTCTCTTGACGTTGTTGACGAAAGAGGTTCTTTGTATTAGGCTATAATTTCATTATCTACAAACATGCACCAATCAGTTATTCTGCCCTTACCTATCTTTATAGATTTGGTGGAGTTAGTTGTAGATTTTGTTTGGTAGTGTAACTGAAATCAGACCAATGCGTGTGCTTAATCTAGAGTTGGTTAGGATAGCATTTGTCATGCTCCACAATCTTTTGTCATTGGTTGATGACGGGTGCAGCATTTCTTCAAATGCAGTGAATAATCCCAAAAAAACTGGTCCTACATTGAATGAGACATTTCTTGGTCTGCTTTACCCAACAGAGAATTATAAAGTGTGAGTATACAGGTTTGCCTTGTTATGCCTTCCATTTGCAAGGGTTGTCAAGTTCAGTTTGTTCTCTTTCTCTTCTTTAGATCTGCCATATTATTTTAATTGGAAGAGACACTGGTGGATTATAATAACCACACCCTGTCTATTAGTCTGCTCTCAAGTGCACCATATGTCATGATTTATTCAGGTATGGTTATTTGACAAACACTAAGGTGAAGTTCATATTAGTGACAACAGATCTCGATGTCCGTGATGCAGATGTAAGAAATGTAAGTCATATTTCTCACTGAGCTTTCTTTTTATACTATGTATGTCTCTGCTGTGACTACTGAAATGGTTCCATTGCACTATATATGACTTTATTCGGGTGCGAAGAAAGAGTGAAATGTTATTCATCTTCTCTCTGAATGCTTGAGAAAAAAATTCTTTTCTGGGCATGCATACATATGCTTTTGCAGAGAATGTGTGAAATGTTAGCTCTAGTGCATTATGTGACTGCAAATGTACTAATAACCCTTTCAGATTGTGGCTTGCTTTATTGATCCCTTCCTTCAAACGAATTCCTTGTATCTCTAGAACAATGCCAGGTTACTTACTCTATTTTAGGGGTGCAGTTTTTCAGGAGATTTCATGCTGCATATGTTGATGCTGTTTCAAACCCATTTCATGTCCCTGGTAAGAAAATAACATCCAGAATATTTGCAGAGAGCGTGAGCAATATTGTCAAATCATTTGGTTTGACATCTGCTTGATTAACAACACAAAGGATCCTTTGTGACAACTATGCAATTTCCGTTTGGTTTTGTGTTGGTGTTCCAATGTGTATCAGAGTTTGGCACCCTGGAGGGTTTATGCATCTTTCAGATCCTACTTCGTCTTTGACATTTATCTATAGGCCCCGCCACCTCCACCCCACCCCCAAATGCTCAATTTCAGTGTATGTTCATTTCAAGCATGTTTGTGTAGATTTCTTTAGAATTTCTACTATGTGAAGTTGTGGATTATATGGATAAAAGATGCTCAGAGGGATTTCCAAATAGCATGCTTTACTTTGTTTCTCATTGCCACTATGTTTGGATCAAGGAATTAGGAAGGAAAAGAAAAGAAAAAGAATTCTTTCCTTTTCCTCACCAAAATGGAAGGAATTTTGTTTTCCTGCCTTGTAGCTTATTTTATCCTTTCATTTTATTTTTCATCCACTTTTCTTTTCTTTTATTCCATAGCCAAACAGGTAAAATTGTTTTTTCATATCATTTTCCTTTCATTTCTCCAAAATCCTTGAACCAAACATAGTGTACATATCTCGCGAGAGTAAAATGAAGTGAGATTCATGGTGGAGTGATTGAGCATAGAAAGGTAAGATTTCCATGGGTTGCAAAAAAGACTCCTAATATTCAATCTATACATGGAAATTGGAACATCACTTTACCTAATGAGGCAGCGGTACAATACATGAATCAAAGAACCCGGAGGAGCACCAAGCTGTTGCTCATAAAGAAATTTCTTTCAGAAATCTTCATCCTTCCCTCTATGCTTACAAGTTCCTTTTCTTGCAGTTGCCCTTCTCTTCGGGAATTGAAGAGCACGGACGGCTTCATTATGCATGTTAAGACAAAAACTGATTCTAGAATCAAAATCCATATGAGGCTCACTTTTTTCCTTACATATCATGGTTCCATTAGCATGATCCAATATGGCATCAATGGCGCCATCTCTAACTGCTTTTGCTATGATGCTTTCGGCATTTTCAGAATCCAGTCTTAGCTTCTCTGCCACATCAGACAATGAGATTCGAGAGTATGAGATACTTATATTGCGTAACCCTGTCCTAATGACACTATGCCGGAGCCTAACAATCACATTGTTAGTCCTGTCGTTGCTGAAAGTGCTTGAGAACCTCTCAGCTACGGCTCTGAACAGCTCCAAATCCCCAACGCGAACAGCCTAAAATTGATCAGCTGCATTTTAGCACCATAGAATGAGCTGACAGATGTAAAACCTACTCCTCATACTTACATTTGTTAACTCAAAATATGGCCTTAGTGCTTTTTCAATTCCCTTCTGCATAAAAACAGTTCTTTCAGGGATTTCTCCGAGCAATAAGTGAACCAGAACTGCCCACTTATTGCATTGAGCTCGGAACCCAAGCGCGGTGGACACTGGTGCCCTTTGGGCAGCTTGGAGGAGACACTCTTTAGCACCTGTGTACTCCAACTGGATGGTCCTTATCTTTCCAAGATAGAAAAGGTACCGACAAAACTGGACGACAAATAAAAAAAATCAATGGGGATTCGAAATGGCATAATGAAAGATGTTGGAGATTTGCCTGTGGGTTCGATTGAGATTCGAAATGGGGTGCCTTTGACCTAAATTTCTCTGCTTGATCATATAGGTTGTAGTGAAGGTAATTCCGTAATAGCAGATTACAAAGGGTTTCCTGCATCATAATGCATTGCATATCTGCATCAAGCGAATTAAGTACACCCAAAAAAAGTTGATAATAGGATCAAGAGTTGGGTTATGGAGTACACAAGACACACCTGGCCCAGCTTGTCGTTTCTCTGTGTTGCGATATGGTGCAAATTAAGGAGATTACTGTTTCAAAAGAAGTTACCATTTGAATAAAGATATTATTCGAAAGTAACGAATGGCTTACAAAGCATCAGATGTGTGGTTATTCCAAATGTGTGTATACCGTCGGATATGAGAAAGATGACCGGTGAGCTCATGGCTCAAAGAATAGTAGTGGTAGATCTTAGAAGCTAAAACGTCAATTGTCGTCTTGTTGAAGAGTTTCAGTCGAGCAATGCTTGCTGAAGAACAATCTTTTGCCTGTAAAGAAAGAATGCCAATGTGAAAATTGGAATCCATTGAGTAGTGTTGTTGGATTTGTATTAGATCGTACCGTACCTCATTATACTTTCTCTGATCTATCAGATGTATAAGAAGAAGCAAGTAGCAATAAATCTCAAGCTCCGGCAATAAAAGTTGTTGCTTTGCAGTATCAACTTGTACAATTTCATCCCCCTATAATTCATTGTTGCAGAGATCGACGAAGAAGATGAAGAGAGACCGACAATATAAGATTGATCGATTAAGTATCGTACTTACAATGAGTTGATAGCTGCCTGCGGATACATAGTTGAGGAAAGAAGACAGCACAGAAGCATTAATAAGCTTCCTCAATCCCATGGTTAACCTCACTGCCTTTGCAATCTTTCTCACCTCTCCTGCATTTCCTCCCTCCTCCACAAGACATGCAATCTCTTTCAAACCCAATATATCCTCAAGTATACATTAGATTAAATCCAAAAATTATAATTACCGCTAAATGATACGTAGTAGAATTTAGGATACGATTTGGGGTCATTGAACTAGACGGTAAGACACTTAATGGGATGGCGCATAGGATTCATAGAAAGAAGAAACTCACGCTCCAAAACATTGGGATCAATGGAGGACGACAACGAATTGGAATGAGGAGGAGCTGCAAGTTGCTCCTCCTCCTCCTCTTCCGTCGAAGTCGTCTTTTTTTGCAATGGGGTCTGCAATATAACCAGAAGCAAAAACGTAGCAAGATAAAATACACATAAAAGGGTGATGAAAGCCATAGAACCTATTCAGTCGCAGACAAACTATCTACAGGGGGTGGGGTGGGTCGGACAAGTATATATACTTGCTACAATTACAGGCTACTTGTGTTTCATTCATTTAAAAGGAGATCCATTCAAACAAAAACATGGAAAAAAGATTGATTATTTCCTTCGTGTGCAAGCAATCGAATCTTTTTCCCCTGATAAGTGCTATAGGAGTAGCATATTTTGACTAGGAGAAAAAAAAAAGAAATGTTAATTAACTAATTTAAAACATTTCATTATTATGTCACACAGGCACAGTATGTATATTCATTCGAAATGATACGTAAAAAGTAATTACAAAACAAATTTCTGAACAGAACAGAACAGAACAGAACAGAATAATCATCTCCTCAAAATGCCAAAAAAAAAAAAGTGCTGCTCATGGACTATCTTGCAGAACTGCCACTATCTTCTTTCTTGTTTGTATCTATTAGTAAGTCCTCCGCTTGCTACATTCTCTTTTCCGGGAGCACTCTCAGGTTTTGGAAGATGAAAGCTACCATATCCTGATGGTGGAGATCTGCGTGAATCTGTGAACCCACTAAATTGGGGTGGCGGCGGTGGCTCCCTTCTGTTACTATTATTCCTTTCTTCTCCCCCGCCAGGAGGTGCCGCCCGCCATGATGCTGCTGGCGCACTCCCTCTTTTGTACCTATTTTCTATTGTGGGTGGTGAAGATGAAGACGACCCTGGTGGCGGTGTGGTCTCTCTTCTGTACCTATTTTCTACTGGTGGCGGCGGCGGCGGCCCTGGTGGTTCTCTCCTGTACCTATTTTCTACTGGCGGCGGCGGTGGTGGTTCTCGTCTGTACCTATTTTCTTTCTCCACCGGAGCCTGGAATGAAACAGAATCAGATCCGCTTGGTGGCTGTCTTATGACACTTCTGCCCTCGGCAGAAACCGACTGCTCTCCTTCCCCGGTCATATCTTCGCCGTCATCAGAAAGTGAAGAAGATGATGTATCGTCAACCTTGGAGACGGCTTTCTTTTGTGAACCCTTCTTCAATGGACCAAACTTGGCATGCCTGACCACAATGTATGCCTGTTTCTTTTCCACGTGGGGTCCACTTTCAACCAATGCAACATCCTCTATCTGTAGCAAAAGCACCACTTTCAACTTCAGAGAGAATAAAGGCACATGAAGCCATAATGGAAGAAACTAAGAAAATAGGAGGAGAATTTTGAAGGAATTAAATGTACAGGAGATTAACTCGTTGGTTCAAACAATTGTTTGAAAAAAAAAAGTATTTAGAGAATGAAATCTAAACAACAACAAACCCAGTTCAATCCCACAAAACACAAGAAAATAACTTCCATTAGTATTTTCTCTCTTTTCCTATCATTTTCCGGGATCCAAACATATGCTAAATAATCAAACTACTCCGTATAATACTATAATCTTACCAGGGAAGAGAGACGTGACAGCGCTTCTCCTAGATTTTCGGTCTCAGAACCATTGCTTACAGCCATACACTGCTTGACAACAACAGGAAATAGATAAAAGGTCTATTAGTTCGCGTTTTGAAAAAAAAAAAATTCCCCTTTAATCCGTGTCTATGAGAGTATATGGTGGTGGGTAAGACTAGTCACTGGGAGACCTTGGCAATTCAAATGTGTGTCGAAAGTTCATCCCTGGCATATAAGGGAATAGCTTGGGCTACGTTGGCAATCAGATTTCATCCATGAAAGCTCACATGGGATCATTTGTTAAGGAACATCACAATACAGAATTGAAACCGTGCATGAGGCTGATAATTGAGTACCTTAACCCGATAACCTTTGTCCATCATTCTCTTGATTGTGTCTGCTTTAGTCTTCAAATCTTTTTTCTCCTGGATAAAACAATATGAAGGGATATGATCAATCAATTAAAAATATTACAATCATTATGCATTCAAAAATGCCCTCTGTTTTACTCTCACGAGTGCAATTCACTTCATTCAATGTGCTTATTTTCATTTGAGTGTATGTTGGTTTGGTATATCCTATAAGACAGATGCACAACTAATATAGAAGTTTTAACTTTTAAGCAAAAATATAACAGCTCTAGTGACAAAAAACTGGACAAATGATTTAACAAGATCCCAATAAATTATGCTTAGTTCCAATGTTGCTTATCAGAATGCTATGAAGAAATGTTAAGAAATTGGAAACCAAACAATAAAGCATTCTGGGAATCATTGCGAGTGATTATAGTCAAATACTCCCTCGGTCCTAGAATAAGGCTCCACATTTGACCCGACACGATTATTAAGAGAGGTGGAATTATGTAGTTGGAATTTGTTGAGATAATTTGAACCACAATACCACACAATTATTTTCTTAAAAGAAAAGTGGAACGTTATACTAATAGGGATATGTGGAACCTTTTTACAGGATAGAGAGTAGTAAATTATCAGCCCACAATGAGTAAAAATGTAGTGCAGAATTTCTTAAAGAAATGTAAAAAGAAACTTACAATTTTACATAGAAATCTGACTTCCTTGCTACCACCTTTCTTTAAAGTTGAATCAGACTGCAAAATATATAAAAACTAATCATCTAAGTACAAAAAGATTCTCTCCAATGAAGAGGAACAACAATATAAGTCAAAATCTTAATTACAAACTAATGAGGTTGGCTGCATTAACCAATACAAAAACTCCAGGGAGATTCCATATTATCGCAAGGAAATTCTATAGCAAACGGATCATGTGTGTAAGTGTGTTCACAGTCTTACAAGCTTGGTATACTGCTCAATTGTTAACTAGTCTTGGGCCAATACCATCCATATTCTCTATAAAAGAGAACAAAGTAATTCTCGGGTGTTCTGTTCAAAAATGTATTTGATGTCTAAGAACGTGCAGAATAATCAAATCCTAAGGACACCTGAAGTCAGTCATGAAAAGCACTCAGGTGAAGAGGCAACCTTTATTGCTTGAACTTGTCAAGGCTATGCGAGATCCAAAACACAAGACAAGGCACTTGTTTTTGTTGCCTGGATTTGGGGCTAGTCGGCTAGAGGAGAACACCTCTGTCTTGAGAGTGTTTTCTGCCGTGTTTAGTTTTACAAAAGAGGGCTGCATTAGGCAGACTTTTATTAGAGGTGGGCTGACTTAGATAAACTGATAAACAATGGACTGACTTGAATAAAATATGATCTGACATTTTTACTATGAAGTACTAAAAAGGGTTAAAACCATATCGACTAAGTGTAGACATGCTGTACTGTGGTAAAAAAGAACTACAGGACTTGCCTTCTTCTTGGCTTGCTCTTTCTCCCTTGCTTGTTTAAGATAAGTTTCCTTATGATAGTCCATAAGCTTGCAGACGGGTGGATTAGCTCTTCGATCGACCTACAGAATCACAATAACTGGTTTAATGGAGAGAATGTAAAGTAACATCCATGAATTTGTCTAGATTTCTCTGTACTGCAGGCATGCAATAAATAAATAAAAAGAGTTCAAATCCTGTCTATATAACATGAATGCAGCGTGATGTTTTAGGGGAGTATTTTACCTCAACTAGATCTAGATTAAGACTCTTAGCACGATCCAGAGCCTCAAACCTCGATACTACAGCATGACCTGCATATTTTCTTACATCAAACCCCCAAATTAACAGTGCGCGAAAACTAAAATGTTTTTATCAGGCCATTAAACATTTTGAAATATATAGACTTATCATTCACTAGTAGCTTTGCTGAGCAGCAATAACTTCAATGTTAAGAAACAACATCTTGAGCTAATGATCACAAGTTAGTACTCTGTATAAGAGTAATATTCCATGTTTACATGGTGATTATGTGGTCTCTGACCATTTGAAAACACTGTAAGAAAGTAAGAAGGGAAATTTTATTTCAATTCAGAGGGTTTTTGGGATTGATTCTGCTTTTGGGAAACTCTTTATTTTAAATACAGAATCCAAAAGAATCTCATATGTGGTTCTCCCTTCTGCTTTTCTGTCAAAAGCTGAAATGAAATAACAAAATCACTACCAAACATTACCAACCTGCTTCTATCCAACACAAAAGCTGAGAATCGCTAACCAAAAGCACTACCAGACACTCTCTTAGTCTATATTATTTAGCGAAAAGCTAAAATATTGTCAAAATGACTCTTTTAGCTCCATTGGATGTAGCCCTAATAAATTATTAATACAGATATTTTAGGCATATACTAAACTACTTTTGAAGCATATATCAAGCCCAGCATTCCCTAACCACTAGGAATAAAAAATATGCAGCACTCTCTAATTTGAAATTAGAGTCAGATGGTCTGACCTTCATCAGAAACTAGACGAACAAAAGGTGCAGTCACCTTCTCATTCAATCTAAATCCGTCTGTGTCCTTCTCTTCCTTCTTCTGACTAACCTACAAGTGTAAAAACGCCCTTTAAAATCATGTCTCTTTAGTGAGAGCTAGCATCCAATGGAGCTAAATACGAAGGAAGAAATTGCCTGCACTGGTGCAGCGAAGAACCTGAGACTGTTCAGAAACTCTCCTCGATTCGTCTGGATGGGTTTCAGATGCCGAAGTGTAGTATGTGATACGGCACCACAAGGGTGAAGTTTACTCGGATTATGTGTTTGATGATAGCATCTTTTTAGTCCGTTTGACAATACCCTGATCTGAGATTCCTTGACGCGAATCCAAAACGCCATTGTCCCCTCTCTTTCCCCTCGGTTTCTGTGTGTAGACGTGACCCGTGTCCGATAAACCCTAAGATTTTCGAGTCACTTCTCCGTCGGCAAAAAGAGGCTGGAGGTAGAACGACAATGGCTATGTGCTTCTCGTTCGTGCTCGAATGATAGTGGGGGGTGGCTCGGTGATAACTTGCTGTATCCGGGCTATGCCCCGTCGTCTTTGCCGGACGGATTCGCTTCAAACGCTAAAATCCGAGTGCTCCGATGTGTTTTTTAGACTGGGATGGACTGTGTTTATTGATCCAGTAGGTTTGGTATTTTTGACTAATTGAACAAATAAAAGTGTATACGTACTTGACTTTCCAATTTTAATTTATAATGTGTATAAGTAAGATGTAATAATTAAATTATTGTTAAAATGTGAGATAGAAGATTAGAAGGTGGTGTGAGTGTGCAATGTGCAAATTGATGTGGAACTTAGTGTAGTAAAAAATGGCATGAATTTTCATGAATTATTCAAAAAAAAATTCTACTATCGTGGACATCAATCAATGAAAAACTCGTTTTAAAAACTTACTTGTATTTGATAAATTCTCCTTTCGCAAATGTTTTGCTCACTTTCTTTTTAGGTCCATCCGAAAATATTCTTCTCATTTCTTCTTTTAGCCTACTTTTTGAAGATAAATTTTAACAATACACATTCATTTTATCATTAATATACTTTTTTTATTTTTAATAATAAAAGAAGATTTAAAAAATTAAAGTAGGCGTACTCTTGGAATTTTGATACTTTTTTACAATTCTTTAATAACCATGTCAAGTCAACCCGGAAAAGGTCATTCTCGGACGGAGCTGGTATTTTGCACGCACACATTAAACATAAGATATTCTGAAAGTTTGACCGCTAAATGAGAGAATATTAACATTGTTTGGCGAATAAAAGTTTAAGCACTATTTGTCTTTGAATTTTCCGAAACCTCTGATTACTTGCTAATCCTATATTGTGATCGATAAACATTATTTACTTTTCAGAAAGTGAATAAAAATAACTAAGGTACTATTCTATTCTGATTTAGTGTCATTTTTGCAAACTCCTTAGCAACATAATTCTCCTCTCTCTCATGGCATAGATGATTCGCACACCTTGTTCATGCAAATTCGCCAGGAACAAAATATTTAAATTTAAAGATTGTTTTTCAACTTTAGAGTTATTTACATTAAGGATATATTTGGCGAGTGAAAGCGATACGAGTTTAAACATTTCTGATACTGAATTTCAAAAAATTAATGTCCGGAGAAAAAACATCAAATTTTAAACTTAGAGATATACAAATTCTTTTTATACATAAAGTTTAAACAATTGGGTTCATTATTAACGGTCTCACATTTTCTCGTTCATGCGATGCACATGCCGTTCGCATCGGGAACTTGTTTTGTTATGTCATTCTTATTTTATTTTGTTTTCTTAAAGTCGTTTGAATGCAACTATGAGGATTATTGCTTTTCTTATCGTTCTTCTAAATGAGAATGTTACAAATTTATGCGAAATACTTTGTAGTAAACAAAAGAATAAAATAACGTGTAGAAAGAAAAGTGTGAAGAAAACAATAATCAAGATACTCTCTTCAGATCCCCTAACTCGGTAGGCTCACCAGGTACCTAATAAACTGCTACAACTACTTGTAGATGTACTCTCTATAGTATTTCACTCCATTCAGACTCGTCATTTCATATTGAATCAAATTGACTATTGACAATTAGAGGGTGTTTGACAGTGTGCTGCTTTTAATAATTTAGTTTCTGATTTGAGTAGAAGTGGTTTTACTCTGTTTGACATGTCAGCTTCTGCTTTTCACAACCACTATTTTGTATATAGAACACCATTTTGGAGAAGCAGGTATGGGGTGCTTTTGCTTTCAACTTTTGTAAAAATCAGTTTATCCATAAGTTAATCACTCCGAACACCCTTTTAATCCGCTGTGTTTGTGTTCACGGTGGTTTTGAAAGGAATAAGGATGTGTGATACTTTTCTGAAGATTCCTTTTATGATTCTATTCAGAACTCAATAATAAAAAGTTTAAAAAATTACATACTCCGCATATTTTTTGCATCACAAACATTGGTCATATTTTTTGAGCTTAAATTTTAAATTTTATTTATTTAAAAATTACTATGTGCTGCATATATATAAAAAACTTTACTTCATATTAAACAAGAAGTGACACGACTTTATCATTCTAATAAATAATTAAGACAAAAATGTACTTCAACAATAAAAATAATACTCTATATGATTTAAATATAGGAACATTAAATAGGAGTACAAGACCAAAGGAGAACAAAAATGTTAAAATCAAAACAAAAAATTACAAATTCACAAATTCTATTTATAAATCTCACCAAAAGAATTAAATGGTTTCAAATTATTAAAAAAACATATTTTGAATTCACATATTACAATTGTATTTATTTGGTGATTTTCTTTTTTGCTATTGCTCGAGTATTGCTCAAAAGAGAATCTCAAGCATTTAAATTAGCTCTGTTTTTTGTGCTGGTTTTAAAAACAAGCTCTCGAATAAATGTAAGGAGTTGAGTAAATTTTAAAAAAATGGTCAAACGAAACGGAACAAGTTGGCGGCCCAATGCCCAAGTTTGTCCCCACAAAATTCACGTCTCTGCGCAAAGTACCAGAAAGGCCCTCCATTAGATTTTGGCAATAGATTCTGGCAAAGAAAAAATTTGCATTAACAAAGACAGTGAGGAAAAAGCTCAGCTATACACTGGACACTACACTAGTACTAGTTATAGTTTGTGTTCTTTTTTCTTTTCTTTTTACTGAGCACCACCACTCCACCACCATCATCTCCTCCTCCTCCTTCACCCCCACCAGCCTTTCTACACCATTTTTTTCTGCTGAAAAGTAAAAATCAAAAGATGGAAAAAGAAGAAAAGAATTGTACGAGTTATACTCTGAGTTGACCACATGCGGATTGGCTTGCAGAAGCAAATCTTGTTTCATTTGCTCTTCTTCTCTTTTTTAGCTAGATAGGTCATGCTTTTTTCATTTTTCACCAGAAAACCTGCCTACCCTTCTTCCCCAAAAACTACCTTTAAATGGTATAGTTCATATTTTTCACCTTTGCTTAATTTGTTTGAGTCCCCAAGATTAAGAAGACAAAAAAGTTCCTTTCTTTTTTAATTGAAGGAAGAAAAGATTACTTCTGCGAAATTCCCAAGATTTCTTGAGAGAGATGGGGTGTGTGGCTTCCAAGGTAAAGCAGGAGGAGGAAGGAGAAGGAGTGGTGTCCATATGCAGAGAAAGAAAGAAGCAACTGAAGCTTACTGTGGAGAGAAGGTATAGCCTTGCAGATACACACCATAGATACTGTCAAGCCCTGAATGGAGTCTCCGCAGCCATCAAGCTCTTTGTGGCTCGCCATTTTTCACCTTCTTCCCCATATCTCATCACCTTCCCACCCCCTCCGGGGGATTCAACTTCATCTTCAACCCCACTTTTTCTTCAGCAAAAACCCTCTCAACAGACAACTACCACTCCCACCCCCAAAGAAACCCCTTGCTGTGTTGATTCTTCCGGGGAAGAAGAAGAAGAGGGGGAGGAGGAGAGAGAGGAGATACGCCACGTGGAGAAGAAGGAAGAAAGGGCGGCGTCTGTGTGTGAGTATTTTTACATGGAAATGCCTCGAGAGGAGGAGGTGTTGCAGCATTCGGCACCACCCGCTGGTGGGTATGGCGGTTGGGATTTCTTTAGCCCTTTCAATGTGTACAACCACCAGATCTCAGAGGAGGATTTGAAGGCGGTGAGGGAGAGAGAAGGGATTCCGGAGCTGGAGAAAGAAGAGGAGTGTGGTGGAATGATGGAAGAGGGGAGAGCAGAAAACGAAGAGGAGGTGGAGTTGAAGAAGATGGAGAATGGGGGAGAGGAGGTAAAGGGAGGGGAGAGCAGAAAAGTAGTAGCAGATATGGGGGGAAAGGAGGAGCTTCATAGTGAGGGGATGACAGAAGCATTGGCTGAAATGGAGAGAGGATTGGAGGAGGAGGAGGAGGAGGGAGGGAGAGAGTTGCTTGAAGCATTGAAGGATATTGAGGATCATTTCTCAAAAGCTTATGATTCTGGCAAGGAAGTCTCCAGGATGTTGGAGTCCAATTGGGTTTACACCCAACCAAATTTGGAGGATTTGAGAGGTATTGAAGTTGTTATTTTATATCAGATGAGCTTGCTTTCTTACTTTCTCCCACCCAACCCCCCAAAAAAATAAAAAGAATTGCAGTCTTGATATTCATTTTGCTTGCTTTTAGTTAGTTAGTTTAAGGTGGGAAATATGCAATGATTATTATGGAACATTCAATGCAACTTTATTTAAACCAAAAAAAAAGAGGAAAAAAAACCCCACAAAAATGCTTAAAGCAGCAGCATCTCATCATCATCATTCATGATGGTAATATTTTCAATAGGACACATCACAACAAAACTGATAACTCTCACATGGAAGCCCACCCCCTCGGCTCATTCTTCATTGTCGTCGTCTTCTAAGAGTAGTCTTGTGGCGTCTACTTCAAGAAGCTCTTCAACATGGATGTCAGACTTCTCAAATGACCTCTTGGGTGATTTTGGGGAATCCGGAAGCCATTCACTGACACTCGGAAGGCTCTATGCTTGGGAGAAGAAGCTATACGAAGAGGTCAAGGTAAATGGCTTACTAGAGCTTCCTCTTTAACTTACAGTACTTCTCTTTCTTTTCTTGATGACTGGCTTTTATTAGTAGTTTTGTATTGATCGCCTTGTGGTAGTAGGATGGGGATAGCACTTGGAAATTGTATGAGAAAAGATGCAAGAAACTCAAAAGAACCCAAGATGCCACCAGAATAGATGCCGAAGAAGGAAAGAAAAGAGCAGCAACATTAAAAGAATTGCACAGCAGGATCATAGTAGCGATTCGGAGTGCAGAAACAATTTCAAAAAGAATTGAACAGCTCAGAGATGAGGAGCTACAGCCTCAAGTCATTCAACTTCTTCAAGGGTAACATTTCCCATTCATATTTCTTCAGATTCATTGGGAAATGGTCTGTCTTTTACTATGTAATAAAGTTGAATATGTGTATCTCACTCATTGGTTGGTTGGTGGCAGCATGATGAGAGGTTGGAAAATGATGTTGGAATCCCATGAGCTTCAGAACAAAATCATGTCCCAAGTGTCAACTTTTAACTGCCCTGCCTATGGGAAATTCTGCAACGATTCTCATCGGCTTGCAACCCTCCAGCTTGAGGTTGAGCTTCAGAATTGGCGTTCATGCTTCACTGCATACATTGCAGCCCAGAAAGCATATGTTCAATCTCTCCATGCTTGGCTGTCTAAGTTTGTTGTCGTCGACTTCTATTCCAATGCCGGGCCCCCACTTCTCAATGTTTGCCGTGATTGGTTGTCTGCCATGAACAATTTGCCTGAAAAATCAGTTTCTTGTGCGTTAAAATCTTGTGCAAAAGATATAAGGGCTCTGTGGGTCCAACAGGGAGTGGAACAGCAACACAAGCGAAAGGTCGACAGCCTGTCAAAGGAACTGGAGAGGAAGACATTGGCATTCCAGAGGGCTGAGGAGAGAGTTTTTGAATTTAAGAAGTTTGCTGATAGCAGAAATGCAGAATTGGAGATGGAGCATAGGGCGGAGGTTTTGAGGGAGCAGAAAGATTTGTTGGATGATTTCAGTAGGAGGGTTGGTTTGGAAAGGGAAGAACACCGGAAAAGCATGCAAGAAACACAGAGAATCACATTGAGAGGGTTTCAGTCTGGGTTTGGCAGTGTGTTCGAGTCCATGGCTGAGTTTTCCAGAGCAGCTTTAAAAATGTACAATGAAGTTTTAAGTGCTTGGGAAAATTCTCAAAAAAATTCTCAAGTTGATGAATATGTTAAAAGATGACACTTTTATGGTGGTGTTGAGGTTTAGGAGTTGTGTACATCACTTAATTTATGTCCTTTTCTTTCTTCCCTTTTTTTGTGAGGATTGAATGATCTGTTTTTTGATCAACATTAGCAACAAAAAGAAGGTTTTTGACATTTGCAGTAGTAGACCCAACAGAGCTGTACATTTAATTAAGCAAGCACACAATTATTCCATTTCTACAATAGGTGGCAAATGACACGTACTAGTACAAATGAAGCAGATGACTTGTGTATATTCAATGACCCATTGTTATCTATTTATCTTAGATACAAAGAGACCAAAAATTGAGAAAAAATAATGAATTCAGCCACAAGAGTTGCAGAACTGTGTATGCCAAGAAATGGGACAATATCAACATTACACCAACTCTCAACAGCAGAACCAACCACTGCCCCTGCCACCAACCCACCAATTGTTACAAGACTTGCCTTCCCTGCAACGACACCGCACACCCATTAGGTTCATTGCATTCGCCTAAATACATTGCTGTAATTTATTTAAGAAATACGTTTTCATCCAATTGCACCACGGCTAGTGGCTCTCAGCAGATTGTGCTGCCACTTCAACCATCTTAGAGCTTATCAAACAGGCTCTAATCTTTTGATATTTTAGACATCTCTTGCAGGAAAAGAGATCATTACACTTATTTCCTCTTCTAACATAACAAAGTAACCAAACCACTCACTTTTTTAGGGGAGTGGAGAGAGAGGGAGAGACAAAGAGAGTTACCCAAGTTAACATTTTTCTTGGTGATGAAGTACAAGGTTGCTCCAAAACTGGTGGCCAAAACCAGGCCAGGGAGATCTGCTCCTCCTGCATAAGCAGCTTCAGGAAAGGTTGGGCCTCCATTTGCGTATACTAAGACCGCTAGGGCTCCATACACCCCGGCTTGGACAGCCAGCTCACCAGTAGATGGTGTTTGGAATGAAACGGGCGAGTCCCTGACTGCCTTCTGCAACCAATTAGGAATTGAGCCCATTCTACGAGCATTTACAGGTTTCTTAACATCTGCATAACGGATAGATTTGTCAGCAACTTTCCCAGCTCTCCTCTGTGACAAGCTCTGCATCAGCAGCATATCATATGCAGCTTCCACCTATTAAACCCACTATCACGTTACTTCAAAGATAGAATGCCGATGGATAAATAAATATATGCAGCAATACACAAGTTGGATTATTCATCAAAGCAGAACGGTAGCCGTTTATAAAAGGTATTGTGATGTATTTGGGTACATGATCCTGCCATGTGTGGATTTTTTTTATCCCTTAAATTAGTTAAAAAACAACCATTTCCTACCCGGCCTTGACTTTAAATGAGATAGAAGTCATAGAACTAGTATAGAGAAAATGATGAGAGCATATGCTAACATGTGATAGTGAATATTGATACTCAAGAAAACATGCATGTGGTGATAAAGAGGACTGCACTAGTCAGAATCATCAACCATGACTAAAAACTCAGTTCAGTTTGTCATTTTATGCAACTAATTTCCTTCTGGCCCAATTTCCATCAATATTCTGATTTCACACACTAACAGCTAACTTAAACGGTCTCTTTTCCAACACCACTGTAGTAAAACAGGCATATCAGATCCTTAATTAAGAACATACCTTACCTTGTAGGCAGTTGTAGCTTCTCCCATAAAGTCCATAATTAATCCATTAAAGCGAAAACAGAATCCCAAATTTAACAGAAATCAAACAACACGGTAATTGAATTACCAAATGTGAACTAACATTCCAACACACAATGCTCGAAAGCATGATTAGTAGAATCCCAAGAAAATTCCATAAATAATAGAACAAAATCAAACCTTTGTAATGGTTTCTGGGTCACCTTTACATGAAGAAACTATCGAACTCTTGGCACGAAGAATATCTTCGAAGGAGGCGCCATCTGCAACTCCCAGCAGCTTCAGGGCGTTCTCCACGGACATCTCGAACGGAGCCGAGTCGTCTGCTCTCGATCCGGCTTGAACGGCCGTCTGCAAGGTTCGCCGGCGGGAGATGAACGCAACGCCGAGTTTCTTGATCCTGTTAGTAGAGTGAGCCGGGTTGGGTCGGCGGCAGAGTGACCTGCGTTGGGATGAACCGGGCGGTTGACCACCGATGATGGCGCGGTTTGGTCGTACCGAGAGAGGCGTGGCCATTTTTCTTTTTCCTTGAAACGAAAGGCAAATTATTATACGGAGTAGTTCAAGTTCGAGAAGAGATGACGCGTCATTGCCCTAAAGTGATGCCAATCCATTTGGGCATGCCGGTTCCGGTCCGGTCCTGTCCAAAACCGTAAACTAGGGGTGAGCAAGTACCGGACCGATACCGAAATTTCCCGAAAAAATCGAGAATACCGAACCGAAAAATACCGAACCGAAAAAGTACCGAGAAGAAACCGAACCATACCGAACCGAATGGTCGGTACGGTATTCGGGAACGGTACGAGGTGACCTCCCATACCGAAAATCCCGTACCGAACATATATATCAAAATATTATAAAAAAATAATACCCCGGAGTAATATTTTTTATTTTCCTTCACTAAATAATAATTTTAAAAAAAAAAATGGTTCAAGTTCTATGATGTGTAAATTATACTTTTATTTGAGTATTAATTTTTATGTATGAACATAAAAGTATTCACAAAGATTCGAAATACTCCTTTGTTGTCATTCATTTTGTTAGTTTGTGAAATACAAACTAAGTTTTGATACGCATCTCTTACATTTAAATATTCATTTTTTTAATTTTTCATATTTTTTATTTAAATTCACTTCTAATTTTCAAAAATAAAGGGGTATTGTTAAATTTTAACGTGTAAACTAGGTATATATATTTATCCCGATTTGTACCGAAACCGATACCGAACCATCCCGAACCATACCGAACCGATATTTCGGGATCGGGATCGGTACGAAGTAAAATCCCATACCGAACCGAAATATTTGGTACGGTATCGGTACGAGCTAAATACCGTACCATACTCACCCCTACTGTAAACTGTGTATTAGAGTGCGTTTGGCGAAGAAAACAAATTTCTACGTATCATTTTTTTTATATTGGATGAACTCACAACTACTTTTAAATTTGATATCTCTAGATATGAAAAATTATAAGAAAAATATTAAAGTAGAATATAGAAAATGTATCAATTCAATAATTTTTTTTATCAAAAGAGGAATTACAATGTAAATGCAATCCAAATCATGTCAATATATTACCAAAAAATATAGTAAAATATTCATATACAATGTCACATTATCACATTATAAATTTCTATTTTGAGGATAAAAATATGAAATTATTATATTCACACTTTATTTATTTATTACTCTATTTAAGATGATTTCTTTAAAATCATTTAAATGGATGCTTTCATGTTCTTTTATTGGGAAGATATCAATATGAGAGTTGTCTTCTTTAACTGTCAACCACCTCGTCACGCCACTCCGTACAACTATCACCGTCAATCATCTTATTGTTGGCCACATTCACATATCACTAATTAAATCACGATTTCAAATCTTTCTAAGCAATTTCATTTAAGATTTCTAGTGCATGCTTGTCTTATTTTCACAGATTTTATAACTCGTATCACATCATACATTATCAATTAATTTTGGTGTACACTAAAATTTGGACACAACTTGTACATATACACAAACAACAATTATCTGTGCATGCATAAAAATTATTGTCTGTATGTGTTCATAATGCACTTGATGTAGAAGTGATGTACAAATCTTGGTGTACCCTAACACACTCCTGCTACATTGATACCCTCAAAACCAAACAAATTGGCCCTCAAATATTCTTTTTTCCGTTTCAATGGAATCAATAACAGTATTGATGGAAGACGATATCGGTCTGATTTTCAAACGGTTCCTGGTACCTACTTTATTTTCCACTCTATATAGAGTATTAATTATCTTTAATATGAAAAAAATACATTATGTTTTAATATAAATGTAATATCAATACTTTTTCTTTCAAAACATAATTTCGAAATATTGATTTTTTTGTAAAGTATACATATATATAAAAATTAATAGAGTAAATTCTATAATTGGTCCTTTATAACAGGGGGATTTCCATATATAGTCCTCTATTATCAAATATTATTCCTGTAGTCCTTTTTTAAGGGTGTCTTTCCACAAATGGCCCTTTTTTTGATCTTCTGCCATGTTGGTGTTAATTTAAAGGCTAAAAGTATAATTTGACATCAATATTATGTCTAGTGACGTGTTTTGATATTGGTTAAGCAGATAACATAAAAATAATGACTATAATTGTGAGCTAGGATTCCGACAAAAGACCACATTCGTAGAATATGGTTGTAGTAGAAAGCGACTGTAATTCACAAACGATGCAAACAGAACAGCCTTTGGAATTGCGTATGACAAAAAAGATATATTATCATTATGAAATTACACTTTTAGCCCTCAAATTAACATCAACATGATAAAAAATCAAAAAAAGACTATTTGTGGAAAGATACTCATAAAAGAAGGACCAATAGAGTAATATTTGATAATAGAGGACTAAATAGGGAAACCCCTTTGTTATAAAGGACCATTTATTGAATTTACTCAAATTAATATCAATGATGAAAATGTTAGATTAGGTATCGTGAAAAGTCAAATAAAACGATTAAATCAAGACATAGGTGCTAACATTTATTGATACCTTGATGGTGTAGCTAGGTTATTTATCAAAAGCAGTCTCTCTTTTAGGATCCAACTGAGTCATTGTATTTATTAATGGTTTAAATTATTTTAAACAATGTATTGTTATTAACTGAACAAGAATGATAAATTACTATAACAAGACACGAACAAATAAATTTTTTCGTGAAAACTTAATTGAGAGAAAACTACAAGCTTTTTTTCGTAGAAACCTATTGCCACTAGGGACCTAACCCATTGCTTGGATGAGTGGAAAAAAGAGAGGCAAGAAGAGCGGGATGAGAAAACACAACTGGCTAAGGCCATGTTCTCCTCAATTTTTTTATTTATTATCTATTCTTATTGTAATCAGATTACATCAGACAAGATCAAATCATATTAAAATAGCTTTAAATATAACTACATTCAGATCAGGTCAGAACTTATTACAATCAGATCAAAACTAATCAGATCATGTGAAGAAAACATGACCCAAGTCTTTTTTCATTTTTGGTTGAAAAAGAAAATGAAAAGACAAGAAGTAAAGGTAGTTAAACGAAGTCAAAACATTTTCTCAGCTAGGATCGTGAGAAAACTAATTCTATTGAGAAATAAGCTTATTATTTTTGTTCGTACTTATTTTTTCACTATTTTTTGATCATCCAAACAATTATTATTTATATTTCATTTTTCATCATTTATTTTCTTACGTATTTTTTTCTTTTTTTTTAATCCAAAAGAAAGGGTAAAGTTGATCTGTCACTTACGGAGTATTTAACTTAAAATAACATCGTATTCTATACGGAGGCTACTGTTAAGCAGACGGAGTATTACGGGATATGCGTATATCCTACGGAGTAGCCCGCAATACAGTATTTAGCAGCTGAAATACAGTTCTTATTATACCTTCTTGTTCGTCTTCACCGGGAAATTTGATTCAACAAAATCTGCGATTGCTCGAAGATGGCGGCTACATGGCAACCGGTAGAGGAAGGGTTCAAGGAGATCTGTGGATTGTTGGAGCAACAGATGTCGCCTACTTCCGACAAGTCTCAGATTTGGCAGCAGCTGCAGCATTACTCTCTGATCCCCGACTTCAATAATTACCTTGCTTTCATATTTGCCCGTGCCGAGGTTTCCAACTCTCTCACTCTATCATCTCCGTCCCGAATTGCTTGTCACTCTACGGACTTCGGACTAGTTTTTTGTTTTTTTGCTCATTTCCACTCGTTAGAGTTCTGTGTTGGGCTTTACTAGGGTTTTGTGTTCTTGAAATTTACGATCACGTGGACTGAGTTATCGCTACAAGTTCTATTCATTAGAATGATGCAATAGATTCTTCTTTCATTTGAGTTTGTTTTCTCCGTGCTGTCTCTGGTAGCTTCACCAAATGCCGTCTATTCTTGTGGAGGATTACCTTAGAATCTGTTTTATGGATAATGCATTGGTTAATAGAGCTTCTTATGGTAAAGCATTTAGTTTATAGGGCTTATTAGTAACTTCCAGTTGCCACCAATCGGATGCAGTTGTGCTCTAATAATATCTCGTCTTAGTTAAATATCTGGAACTTTCAAACAATTAGAAAATTTGTCTGATTGGCGTTTTGAAATCTTTACTGCAAGCACCTGTTGATGTAACATTACATTCACATGCAGTTCTGCACTAATTATATCTCTTCTGAAATTAAATGCCCTGTACTTTCAAATGATGACAATCATGTCTGCGTGGTGCTTTGGAATATTCAGTATACACATTTTCGGTGTAACTCTAGCTTCATTGGTGCTCATAACAGGGGAAGTCGGTGGATATTCGGCAAGCAGCTGGGTTGCTTTTGAAGAATAACCTTAGAGGTGTGTTTAAGACCATGCCACAGGGGAACCAGCAATATATAAAATCCGAGTTGTTACCTTGTCTAGGATCTTCTGATAGGCACATTAGGTCTACAGCCGGGACCATCGTTAGTGCTATTGTTCAGCTTGATGGAGTAGGTAGTTGGCTGGAGTTAATGCACACTCTTGTAAAATACTTGGATAGCAATGATGCTAATCTAATGGAAGGCGCAATGGATGCGTTGTCTAAGGTGTTTATTTTCTATCTTTATCATGATCTATACGCATTCCCTGGCACATGTCTATTTTGCTTTTAATGAGCATGGAGTGGGGATGCGTTGTCAGTAAAACAGTTAGTTTTTTAGATACAAATTAACACACACACACACACTAGAAATGGGAACCTATCATTCTCACTAGTTCACCACATGTTATGATGCAGATATGCGAGGATGTTCCCCAATTCTTGGATTCTGATGTATCTGGATTGTCAGAGAGACCCGTTAATGTTTTCATACCAAGGTTTCTCCAGGTGACTTTTGCAATTATTCGTTCGACCATTTTCTCTCATAGTTGATGAGAATTTTCATTTGCATTGATGAATATTTGCAGTTTTGCGCACTCACTGGATATCTGATCTTTATGGAGCCTGTAAATGGCGCTAGCTAATATGTTGTTCTTTACTTGATGCACGTGTAAACAGCTTTTTCATTCACCACATGCTACATTAAAGAAGCTTGCATTGGGTTGTGTCTATCAATTTGTTATGCTGATGCCTAAGGTGGTTTCCTTACTAAACCTCTTTAATAATCACCCCTTCTGCCCTCTCCTTTATGCATTGTAAATGACGTTGACTGGATCAACTTAATTTCTTACAGGTTCTTCATGTGAATATGGACAAGTATTTGCAAGGTTTGTTTCTTCTTGCGAATGATTCAGCTGCAGAAGTCCGGAAGTTGGTAAGAGAACTTATTGCCTCTTAATTCTCGTGATTTCCCGAACATTACTTTCCTTTTTAGAATAATTATCTTCACAAACTTAATTACTCCCTCCGTCCCAATATATTTATCCAGTTTGACTTTTATATAAATATACATTAGGGTTTTTATTTAATTGAAGTTCTAAGTTTGTCCAAATTAACTTTCAAATTGGACAAACAGGCTGGGGCGGAGGTAGTATTAGTTGTTACTATATCTCTTATTTTTCTCAAAATTGAAACATGTTTTAATATGGGTATGTCTTTTTATGTTTCTTGAAGATCATGTTTTATAGGCTTGTGAACCGCATGATCAGATTCATACTCTGCCTGATCAAGTTACCTGTGCGATGAACTGAGCATGATAGAGTTTTTTTAATGCATTAAGTTTATAGTCACATAATCCAAACATTAAACATACACTATTACAAGCTCAGATTCAATGATTTTGTGATTCTACTTTTTTTTGTGATTCTACCCTTTTAACATTCTCATTCATTTCTTTCAACAGGTATGTGCAGCTTTCGTCCAGTTAGTTGAAGTTCACCCAGCTTTCTTGCAGGTGAGGTTTCTTTGTTTCTCTAACTATGGCTCTGTGAGTGCGTAAGTTTATTTGATTCCGTTTCAGAATGTATATAACAGAAAACTCCACTATCTGTTTTAATAAAGCTAATTTGATGACTGCATCGAATTCATGTCTTTCATTTGGTGCTGATATTTAATACTGTGTTGCAGACACACATGAGGAATCTTATTGAATATATTCTTAAAGTCAACGAGGACGGTGATGATGAAGTGGCTCTTGAAGCTTGTGAATTTTGGTAAACAGTACATAATTATCTATACACCTTGTTTATTGCTTTTGCTGATGTGGAACTAGCTGGACTTTATTACAGGGAATACCTTCTGGATATGCATGCAAATGCCCATAAGTATTTTGCTATTGTTGTCTGAGTTTCAGTGTTATTTGTTTACAGGTCAGCATATGCTGATGCTCAGCTGCCTCCAGAAAATTTGAGGGAATATTTGCCACGTCTAATTCCTGTACCGCTCATGCCTCAGTTTTATAGTTTTTATATAATTGGTCAGTCACATATTTATATAAGAAGGAGATTGTTAGTTGTGATGTAGTCACTCCACTTTCTGTAGGTTTTGCTTTCTAACATGGTTTATGCGGATGACGATGAATCACTTGTGGAGGCCGATGTTAGTATAGTATTCATCCTTTTCTTTTTACTGATCTTTTGTGCATTGATGTTATGTACTTCATCATATTTTATTTACTGTGTTGCTAAATCACAGGAAGACGATTCACTCCCAGATGAAGATAAGGTTTGATTTTCATCTTTTTTATTACTGTGGTCAAGGAAATGACTATATATTTCATTTGGAACCATTTCTCTTCAAATAACAAAATAATATGCAATGCAGGACATAAAACCTCGCTTTCATTCGTCAAGGTTCCATGGATCAGAAGATGCTGATGATGTGTGCATTTTTTTCTGGGATTCATTATGATCTTATTATGGTGACATTTGAGCCTATTAAAGAAATTGGTGATAATATTTTAATTTATGCTTGTAGGATGATGACACCGTGAACGTATGGAATTTGAGGAAGTGCAGTGCAGCTGCTCTAGATGTTCTCTCAAATGTCTTTGGTGATGGGATTCTTTCTAGTCTGATGCCCATTGTTCAGGTTATATGTTTTTTCTGACTAAATATGGAGCTACCTTACTGACCCAACCTCTTAACATATTAAGCAAGCAGTATGTGCCTTTGTTCCTACAGACTAAACTATCTACTACAGATGATGCATCTTGGAAAGAAAGGGAAGCAGCCGTCTTAGCTCTTGGCGCTGTTGCTGAGGGCTGCATTAATGGACTTTATCCACATTTGTCTGAGGCAATTTTCTATGCCATCATAAGATATTAAATAAAGAGTTATGTAACAATGAGTGCTTTCATGGCTAACAAAATGTATGTAACTTTTTTCAGATCATTGGCTTTCTTATTATTCTTATAGATGACAAATTTCCATTGATACGAAGTATTTCTTGTTGGACGTTATCACGCTTTAGCAAATATGTTGTTCAGGTGAGGGATGCATAGGCAATTTTCTTGTGCCAGTTATTAATTTTCAAACATTTTTCTTTTAATATCGATGGCATTAGACTCTTGGTGATTGAAATATTTTTAGTATTCAAGTAGAATTTGCTTCTCTTTCTGTTTCAGAGTAATAATCATCAACAAGGACACGAACAATTTAATAAAGTTCTTATGGGTCTTCTACGACGAATGCTGGATGATAACAAACGAGTGCAAAAAGCTGCTTGTTCTGCTTTTGCCACACTTGAAGAGGTTTCCATCAAGATAATTGTTCATACCTTAATATCATTTATTTGTATATACATGTTCTTTGACTGTTTTGGTGTAATATAGGAGGCTGCTGAAGATTTGGTACCTTGCTTAGAGACTATTTTGCAGCACTTAATGTGTGCCTTTGGAAAGTATCAGGTTGTTTTTACACCATATGTTCACAACTCAAGTATATTCTTCAAACTTTTCTTACTTCTGTTTTATGCAGAGACGGAATCTTCGAATTGTGTATGACGCCATTGGAACACTTGCAGAGGCTGTTGGAGGAGAATTGAATCAGGTTGAACACCTTTGTGTTTTTCTTGGTTCTTTAGTCTTTACTAACCTACTCACAGTTCCAGAGCATATATTCTCATCTCCATTATTTTTAGGTCAATTGTTATTATTTTCATCATCATCATCAGCAGCAGCATCACCGCTCTTTCGATACTGGTGTTGGGTGTCAAAATATGATGCCACATCATTTAGGGGGACTTTGGTGCTCCATTGGACCCGGAGCAGGGGAGTGGGTTCACGGTGGGTGGGAGTATTGGTTGCCAGGGGGAAGGGATTGGCTGACGCTGTTAGGTAACAGCCGGGGGGGATCGATGTCAATTGTGGGGGATGGGGGTTTGTGGGAGGGTTGGAGGGGGGTGGGGTTGAGGCCCAATGACGCAATGTAGT